TTTTTCAGATAACTTTGTTTATTACATGTATCACTTCTGATATTTTCTCAATTTATTCATAAACATATTAATTATTTATCTCTCTTACAATTCCTGTCCCCCGAATTGTCTTTTCGGCATCCCAAGGCCCTGGCTTAGTGCCCAGAACATAGTAAACACTCAATAAATATTTGCTGGGTGAATCTATAACAGGCCACCCGTTAATCAGGTTATTTCTAGAGGCACTGACATCTTTAGAGAGAGGGACAGAGATCTGGCCTGGAAGATGGCAGGCATCTGGCATCCACATGCTGGCCTCAGCTGCCACTGAATGATATCCTCAGCTGACCATCAACAGATGTGCCTTCTCTGGGCAGAGACCCAGGGGGAGGCAGCCTGGATCTGACCTTGCTGATATGACCTCTCAATTCACATGGATGACTTATACGTCTGGTTCATAGAGAAAGAGACGTGCTTCCAAAGGATTCCTATCGTATGGAGTAGCATAGAAGGCCTGGTGTGAGTCTTAGCACTGCCTAACAGATGTTGTGTGGCCTTGGGCATGTCACCTCACCTACCTGAACTTAGTTTTCAACTCTTAATAAAGCTGGAGATACAGTGAGACTCTTAAAATAGTGAATATAAAGATATTGTCAAAATGTCTTGCACAAACATAAGCTTCACTCCCTCTCCCTCCTCTCTCTCCATTTACTCCTTTTAGACCCACCCTCTTTTTCCTTGCCTTCTTTCTGCCTCTTGTGTATTGTTCTCTACTAGGTCCAGACTTGCCTTTTACAAAGTGAATAGCAGGTTGATGAACACAAAAGGAAGAATTGCAGTATCTCATTTTCTAGGCCATGTGGGTTAAAGACATGGTGCTAGATTGGGTTTGGACTGTGTTTTGAATCATTGTGGGGCATTTCCCCCCAAGATTTATCTTATTTGTGCTTGTGTGTGTGTGTATCTGTGTGTGTGTGCGTCTGTTTGTTGTGTGTATGTTTTCTCACCTGCAGAGGTGAGAAAAGGATACAGGATTCCCTGGAGCTGGAGTTATAGGCAGTTACGAGCATCCCAGTTTGATTGCGGGGAATCAAACTCATGTCCTATGGAAGAGAAGTTTGGAGCCATTTCTCTCGCCTCTAGATTTGCATTTCCACATTAGCTGGCCTATCTTGGATCACCCTGGACCGTCAGCCTTGAGCCTATCACTTCTACTCTTTGGGATTTCCTTTTCATCTTATGTAATAAAAGGGCTGCTTACTTCTGGGGTTGTTTACATGGCTACTGTGCTCAGGGAAGCTCTGTGGACTCTTGATGATTAGTGATGAGCCTGTCATGGGAAAGGATGGCATAAGACTTTGTACTAGCCATGCCCTGGTCCATGGGTTATTTCAGGGATGTTTGCAGTGGCTCTAACTGCACTGTCACTGTGTGAGAAGCAGGAGGCAGATACTGCCTAGTATTTTCCCTATGGCAAATGGGCAGAGAGACATATATACTTAGGGTCCATCTGTTTCTCAGGGCTTCAACCTCCAAGTTCAAGGAGTAACTTCAGTTTATGACTTGTTATGTTGCCTGATGCTTGCAATTTCTTTTTGCTTTTTTTCTGTTTGTTTGTTTTGTTTTTCGAGACAGGGTTTCTCTGTAGACTTCTCTGGAGTCTACCCCTGGAACTAGCTCTTGTAGACTAGGCTAGCCTTGAACTCACAGAGATGCACCTGCCTCTGCCTCCCGAGTGCTGAGATTAAAGGCGTGTGCCACCACAGCTCATATCCATTTCTTTTTATACTGCCCAAACAGTATAAAGATCAGGTGAGGTGGTGTTTGCCCACAGCGCCTCAGGCTACCCCAAGGTCTGTGGGTTTCTTCTCTTTGCCTCTCTTCTTCTCTTAGCATGTAATTTCCAAGGATCTTGGAGACAATAGTTCTGGTTGCCTAGGAATAGCCCATGGATTGAGGGTAGTTCTGATTCTTCAAGGAAAACCCGTCTAAATCAGGATCAACCTTCCTTATTTGGAATATTCAAAGCAATCAGGGAAAAATATTATAGCTGTCTGTTGTGAACAGGAAAGCTGTAAACTTTATGAATAAACTTCCAAACTTTCTGCGCTCCATCTATTTGTAATAATGATAATGATGTCACCAATAGCTAATTTTTATGGAATCTTTGCTGTGTATCAGATGATGCAGTGGGCATTTTCTATGTGGATTATGCTATCTTCACTGTCAGTTCTGAAGGGAAATACAATTTCTATTTTATAGGCAAAGAATAGGAGTGATTATTTCCTCAGATTTCAATGTGAGCTGGTAGAAGTTCAGAAAGAGAAAGCAAATTTGGGTTGTGAATCTGGATCATTGTCAACCAGGGGCAGGGCTAGGCTTTGATGCAATCTCTTATTGCATCATGTGCACTCTCTCTCTCTCTTCTTTCCTTGTTGTGTTGTCTCTAGTAACTACATGTCTGCTCTTCTTAGGACACCATGCAGGCTGTGTCTTAGTGACTAGGGGTTTTAACTCTCCCTTTGTTTGAGCAGGAACTAGCGGAGCTTCAGCAAGCCCCTTGCTACACCTGATGGGCACGGCCAGCACTACAGTGCTCAGTGTCCCTAACGTGCATTTCCTAGCTCTCCTTGCAGTCAGGCAAAATCATGTTATGAGTTGTAGCAAACAGATGAAGGCGGGAGTGACTTGTTTATTTGCTGGTCTTCCCCTCACTAGTGATTTCTTCTGGCTCCCCAGGTTCTGTCTTTCCTTCCCTACCATGCAGAAGATAAGGCAGAAGCTGGGCACAGTGCTATGCTCCTTTAATTCTAGTACTTGAGTACATAGAGCCAGAGAGAGCTCTATGAGTTCAAGTCTAGCCTTGGCTACATAGAAAGTTACAGGCCAGCCAGGTCCACAAAGTGAGACACTGTTTCCAAACAAATAAATAAAAATGTCTAGTAAAAGATTGAGGCATAGGGAATGGAGAAGCCACAGGGTGGTTCCTGAACTGCTGTGTGGACCATGTCTAATTCCCTCCTGCCTTGTACAATCTGCCTTGGATGCTAATGTGAACACAGAGAAATCTGCATCATGTTAGCTCTCATAAGGTTCTGGGGTTGTGGAGCACGGGACTGAAATCCCAAGGTCCAAATCAGGAGCAGAAGGAGAGAGAGCACGAGCAAGGAACTCAGGACCGCGAGGGGTGCACCCATACACCGAGACAATGGGGATGTGCTATCAGGTCCTCACCAAGGCCAGCTGGACTGGGTCTGAAAAAACTTGGGACAAAACCGGACTCGCTGAACATAGCGGACAATGAGGACTGCTGAAAAGTCAAGAACAATGGCACTGGGTTTTGATCCTACTGCACGTACTAGCTTTGTGGGAGCCTAGGCTGTTTGGATGCTCACCTCACTAGATCTGGAAAGGGGTGGGAGGTCCTTGGACTTCCCACAGGGCAGGGAACCCTGACTGCTCTTTAGGCTGATGAAGGAGGGGGAGTTTATTGGGGGAAGGGAAGGAGTGGCGGGGAGGAGGCAGAAATAATTAATAAATAAATTAATTAATTAAAAAAAGGTTCTGGGGTTGTTTGTTATGGCGACAGCCTACCTTGATTAAAGAAGCATCCCACTGGGCCTGAGTACCACCAGCTTGTTACTCTGCATACAGAGAGCCTCTACCTGCTGACGTGTTAAAGCAAACTGTCACACTCTACCTACTTTTTGGTTAGAGATTTCTCATTATTTGAGTCATTATTCATTCAACCAGCATTTACCATGTATTCCACAGCTATCCACTGCCTGTGAGTTAAGACAGTGTATTGGTTTATTTTGCATTGTTGTGACTGCAGTAATGGATAACAATGGCTTACGGGAAGATAGATTTATTTCGTATTTTGAATTGTGGTTTCAGTCCTTTATAGAGGAAAAGGCATAATGATGTAGGTGCTCAGACCACTGTGGCAGCATTGGAGATGGAGGGTGTGGTGATATTTTGTTTGTGCTATAACAAATAAAGCTTGTCTGAGGATCAGAGTGTGGCTACTAGTTAGCCATATGACCCTGCTGTTTGTGCTCAGCTTCCTTAAAGCGTGGAGAGCTTTACTTAAAAAAGGAACAGGGGAACAAACAGGATGTTTTTTTATTTTTATTTTATTTTTATTTTTTTTAAATACAGAAAAATTACTTAATCAAAATTCAGTCCTCTTTCATGTTATAAAGCTGAAAAAAGCAGAATGCATTACATCCATGTGTGAAACTGTCAAACAGGATGTTTTAGTTGGATGGCCAGATACTGTCTTCAAGATGAACCCTGGGAGCCAGGGGTAGACTCATGGGCCCTACAACTGCATAGACCAGACAGAACCCTGGGAGCAGGGGTAGACCCACAGGAACTACAAGTACATAGACCAGACTGGCCTTGAACTCAGATTGGCCTGCCTCTGCCTAACAAGTCCTGCGATTAAGGGCATGTGCCACCACCGCCTGGCATCCAGGTGTCTTCTGTGAAGCTGAAAGAATTGTAAGCCATCATCTCCATTATGACCATGGCCCAAAGCTGTATTTGAGATTGGCTGGTGCCATTCTAGTGTTCCCGACAAGCAAGATTAGTGGGGGTTCTTTATTGGTTTGGAGCCCCTGTCTTGTGGAGGCCGAAGGAGGCCAGAGGTCAGAGTCTGAGACTTGGTTTTAGTTACAGATTTTTGTGCTTCTTACTCAAAGGTCCCACATAGTTGTAACTCAAGATTTCTGATATCTCAAGGGTCTTGTCAACAGGTGTGGCTAGTTGCCAGAATTCCTGCTCCCAAAATAGGGAAGTAGTTGGTCCCTACCTAAAACAATTAAGTCTAAGGTTCCAATTAAGTGGTAGGTCACTTGATGATAGCCTGTGGCCTTCACATGAGCACATACAAGTGTGCATGTACACACCACACATTCCACAACAAAGCAATTGCAGTGTGCATCGTGGTGCTATGGCCATCCTGCCCAAAATGAACCTCTCCACAGGCAATGGAGGGTTCTATGAGCTCTGCCACCATGCCAACCACACCTCAGGAGCAGGTGGACAGCCTCATTTTGAAGATTGAGGAAAATTGCATGGAGGACTTAGACCAGCTCAGCCAGCTTCCAGAGAGTGCCTCTGCAAAGAGGCAAAAGCTCTTTGCACAGTCAAGAGGATCAGCTGTCTCTGAGGTAAGACCTGCATCAGTGAATGTCATGGTGTCCCGTCTTGGGCCAGGTTGGGGACCCTAAAGACTTTGGGCTGGAACCCAATCATGCAAAGAGCCATCACATTTCATAGGAATGTTGGAAGGCAGAGGGAAGACCCCTGTCTCAGCTTGGACAGTTCGCCCTTGCATCAGAATGCTGCAGTCAGTCCCCTGTAGCCAGCAGTTGGTATCAAATGTGATTACAGATGTATCTCCACACAGTTCACTGTGGAAGGGAGTTGTGTGCCCTTCCTGTGAGTGGCACAGTGTGTCGTGATCTCTGGCATCTTTCCACACATTATCTTGGGACAACTTTGAAGACCTGAGTCCTCACTTCTGGGTTCATGTCTAGTGCTTGTTCACAGTACTTCAATTTCAAGATTTCAAGTAACTCTTCCCTTTATTCTTTTTCATTTTTTTTTCGAGACAGGTTTTCTGTGTAGCTCTGTTCATCCTAGAACTTACTCTATAGATGAGGTTGGCCTTGAACTCAATCTGTGTTCTGGTATAACAGCAAACTCCTATTTCAACCTTATGAGTGGTAGAATTTCAAATTCACTACTTTAATAGGCTGAAGAAGGTTCCCATGTGAGTTTTCTGAGTTCAGAGTCTCACGAGCAAGGGCAGTGTTGGTGAGAATTGCCTCCTCGGACTTCCACTCTAGAGAAGGATATGGGTTGGGATCTTTTTAGATGATGGAGGTTTTAGCACACCCACTGTAGCCTCCTCCTTGCACACTAAGGGGGGGTTCTTTCCTGATGCTGTTACCGTCTCCCACATCCCATAGGAGGCATCAGGACTTAGGTTTTGAGGCTTTGTGCCTCATCCCTTGGTAAAGGATACACAGAGACAGGTGCTTAGAGGGTGAGCTCTACCTATTCATCTCATGATGTTCTTTTCACACAGGAAAAAGTGATGAATGGAATGAGAGAGGCCGAGGAGGCAGGAGCAACCTTCAAGGCCTATGAGGCCAAGATGAAACAGGTGTGTAACTTCTCTGGTTTGGGTTCTTTTCCCCCAGCCCCTTTATTTATTTTACTTATTTTTGAGATTGAGTACTGTATCCAAGGTTGACTTGGAAGTCACTCTGTGTCCCAGGCTACATCAAACTCGAGTGTTGCTACGTCACCCTTAAGATTGGCAGGATTGCAGGTGGGAACCAACACAGCCAGCTTTGTTTCCCTTTGCTTGGCTGTAATGTCTCCTTTTTGTGCAAGAAACTTCCTTCATTGTGATTTAACTTCATGGATTTCAGAGTATTTATACACTGGCTTTCATACCTGGGGCAGGCAAGACTGAGGGAAGGACAATTGCCCTCCCTGTCCAGAGCAGAACCATGCATGGCCTTCACTCCTTCCTCCCTCCCTCAGTGTGTGGCCCTAGCTGTCCCTGCTGCAGTGTCACATTTTCTACTGACTTCTTTCCTATAGGGCTGCTGCCTGGAGAGTCAGGATCTGGGCAGAGGCATTGATACTAAGGGTGGGGCTCCAAAGGTTGGGTAGGGCAGGAGCTTGCTGGTGTGTTTGCAGGAAGTGGCCTTCTGCCTAAAGATAGACAGAGCAGAGGGTACAGTAGCCTGCCTGTTCTCAGAGCAGACCTTCAGCTAAATCTCGTGCAGCTTTTCAGCTTCAAGGCAGAGTAGCTTGAAGTCTGTGGCTATTGTTAGCACATTTCTGAGGTTTATACCAGGGAAAAAAGACAGCTGCCTGCACTCCCTATGGCAAACCTTAGCCTGGAGAGATACACAAGCTTACTTACCACATTTCCCTATGAATCGTAGGCTTACCACATGGAAAACTGGATACTTGCAAGAATGTGTTCCAGAATTGCTTTGAAATGGAAAATTATATATTTAAATCATCTCTGGAGAGTGTCATATCTTGAAAAAATTTTCTCCAATGCGAAAAGAGCTGTAACGGTGAATGAGGTAAGTGCTAGACCATGAAGCCATGTGGGCAGCATATGTTGTAGGGTACAGTGAGCAGAGGGAAACTGGGCCAGCAACGAACCTAGGCCTCAAGGAGTACTGGACACAGGAAGGCCTCAGGAAGGCCTGGATTCCATAACGTCACCCCACAATTGGCTGGAAGTTACAGGGACCATTTGGTTGCACAGCAGAATTTCCCTGCAAAGAAGAGAAATACGTTATCAGCTGTCTTCAATGACTGTGCAGAGACCCTGGGTTCCCATCAGAAAGTCCTGATAGCCTGTACCTAGTTTGCAGCCCTTGACTATCTTTAACTCTGTCCTTGTCCCTAATCTTCTACTATAGGAGATGAAGACTTAGCATCCATGAAAAATGTTCTAAAAAAAAGTCTGACTCTCATGGATAATCTGCTTCTATTTGAAAAAAAAGATCATTGAAAAACAACTAAAGAAATTAGAAGAAAGCTGGGTGGTGGTGGCGCACGCCTTTAATTCCAGCACTCCTGGTCTACAGAGTGAGTTCCAGGACAGTCAGCTACACAGAGAAACCCAGCTCAGGGGGAAAAGAAAAGAACAAAGATCTAAAACCCTCACTGCAAGCAGTCACACGCGGCGAGTGGAGCAAAGGCCCACATCTCTGCTGTCATCGGAGACACCAGTTCCCCATGGGAGCATCCACTGGACCAATTTGTCCATTGCTGGACATAGATGCTGGACACAGGCAGGTGCTAGGGCCTGGGCACAGAACAGGGCCTGCCCTGTAAGGGAAGGACTAGAAGAAGCCTGGCACAGTGGCCTGCAGTATTGAAGGCCACCCAGAGAAGTGAGTCCGGGTCACAGAGTTACACACACTAACATCATGTATAAGATCACCCTTGGGCCCTGTGGACAGCACATTGGAGGCATAAGTGAAATTTTGGCTTCTCTCTCCAAGAAATAGTTGCTTGTTTTGCTTTGATTTCTTGAGATGGGGGTCTCACTATGTACCCCATGTGTTCCAAATGGACAATCCTCTTGTCTCAGCCTCCTGAGTGGCTCCAAGAAACTTTGCCATGGATATGTAGATACTCTAAAACTCAACAAAGCCTGCAATCTAGAGCACTTCCGGTCACAGCAACCTGACCGCTCTGAGCTCTATGGTTCCCACACATCAGACATGGGACATGAGGATGCTAGAAGCCGCATCACCTGCTCTGCCTCACTCCTGGCCTTTTTCACTTAACACCACCCCTTGACATCTGTGTGCTATCAGTGAACTATAGACTTTCTCAGTTCTGGCCACTGACTTGCCCCAAGTTTGGTGTGGCCACATGTCATTTCCTACAGTCCCAATCGTGACCCAACGATGACCTGTGTGTTTGACTTTTGTAACAAAAATCTGCCTTTGGGATAAATTTCTGTACGTATGATGTTAAGGTGCAGCGGGGACACCAAGGCTGGTGCTGTGTCCAGCAGGACAAGAGCTCCCCGGGAGGCCTGTCCACAGCTCTCCTGCTCTGAGTCAGCAAAGCTTACCCATCTCTCCCAAGCTGATGAGCTAGATAGCATCGTTGCAGCGTGGCTTTCATTTGGATTCCAGGCATTTCTGGCATCTTCCTGTATCCAGTACTCCTTGAAACCTAGTCCTGTTAACTGGGATTCAAATCCTGGTCCTCTGGAAGAGCAGCCAGTTAGGTCTGTCTCTTCAGAACCATTGTTTTGCTTTCTTTTTTTTAAAGATTTATTTTTAATTATGCATATGTGGGGGATGAAGGATGTGCTTGTGAGTGGAGGTGCCCTAAAGAACTCAGAAGAGGGTATTGAATCTTCTGGACCTGGAGTTACAGGCACTTGTCAGCCCCCTTATATGAATGCCGGGAGCTGAACTCTGGTACCTGTAAGTCTTCAGTCCCAGACAATACTTCTTGGAAGGAGTTACCTGACTATTGGTGCACTAATTTATACAAGACACACTATCTGAGAACATGCTCTTTACATGCTCAGAATTTTGCATGGTGCATAGCAAAAAATGTCAAGATTAGCCAGGCAGTAGTGGTGCACAACTTTATTAACATAACTTGAAGTTAGAGGTAGGTGTGATTTCAAGGCTGTCCTGGTCTACACAATGAATTCATGGTCAAGCCAGGAACATTTCCCAGAGAAATCCTGTCTGGAAACAAAAACGAAAACAACAAAAACAACAACTAACTAACAGGAGTGACTGCAGCATTCTGATGCAGGGGGGAACTGACCAAGCTGAGACAGGGCTCCTCCCTCTGTTTTCCCAACAGTCCCATGAAATGTGATGGGGTTGTGTGTGATTGGGTTCCAGTCCACAAAGTATGTAGGATTCCCCAACCTGACCTCAATTTGGACACTACAGCAAGTACCTTCACTGAGGCGTCTTCCGAGGCCGCAGTTTCATCCTTTCAGTCGGTGGGTTCTCCAGTCTACACTCTGTGACTTCACCCACAGAAGAAGCACTCACTGGATCTAACATGCTCTGGTCACTGTTGTCACGCTCCTCCTGAGGTGTGGTTGACATGGTGGCAGAACTCAGAGCAACCATCTGTAACAGTGGAGAGATTCATTTTGGGCAGGATGGCCATAGCACCAAGAAACACACTGCAATTGCTTTGTTGCGGATATGTGTGTTGTACACATGCATACATGTATGTGCTCATGGGCAAGCCAGAGTCTAACATCAAGTATCTTCTCAATACTGCATCCTAGAAGGTGTCTCACTGAATGTAGTATTCACTGTTTCAGGCAGGTTGGTTGGTCGGCAAAGCCAGGGATTTCATCTGTATTTGAACCCTGCACTAAGACCCTTATACACCCAGCTTTCATGGGGTTGCCAAGAACCCAAACTTATGCCCGCAGGCTTGAACAAGAAACACATTTTCTGCTGAGCCATCTTTCTAACCCCACTGTGGTTCTTGCTCACTCCCCACCCACTCCCACACACACTGCTTGCTTCTCACAGGGTTCTCTCTAGGAAGATGTCCCTGGCTCCCTTGGACCTTCCTGTTCTGTATCCAGGCAGTCCTGCCTCTGGGTTTACTTGGTGCTGTGTCCTCTCCAAATTTCTTTGTGCTTGTCTATACCATGTGTGTCTCTCCAGAAAGGGCAATGTCTCGTGCCCTTCCTTCTCCAAGGCCTTCCTGTGTCAGCTCTGTCCAGCCACACTGTCCAGCCATACTACAATGGTCACCTACTGAGGTTAGTTCTTCTAATTTCTTTAGTTGTTTTTCCAACATCTTCTTTTTTTCATATACCGACAGAACATCCCTGAGAGTATGTTTCTGTTTTAGAACATTTGTCACGGATGCCAAGATCTTCATTTCCTATAGTAGAGGATTATGGACAAGCACAGAGTTAAAGATAGCCAAGGGCTGCAAACTAGGGACAGGTCATCAGGACTTTCTGTTGGGAACCCAGGGTCTCTGCACAGTCATTGAATGCAGCTGATGACACAGTGAAGTTCTATGTGTTTCTCTTCTTTGCAGGAAAATTCTACTGTGCAACCAAGTGGTACATGTAACTTCCAGCCAATTGTGGCGTGAGGTTATGGAAACCAGGCCTTCCTGCGGCCTTCCTGTGTCTAGTACTCCTTAAGGCCTGGGGGTGGGGAAGGGTTGGGGTAAACCAGGAATATATATTTAGGTCATGTTAAATAAAAAGGCTGGGGGAAGCAGAAAGATTTTAGGAATTGCAGTACATCCTTACTCCATAGATAAGAGTTGTCTCTTCTAGTATAGACAGGGGAGTAGAGCTCTTTGCTGTGCCTGAGCTCCCCTTTACATTCCTGGGGCATCACAGAATCATCTGCATCGTGACCTCTTCTTCCCTAGCACTCGCTGGCATCTGGATATCTTGAAAATTGCCTGTATGTTACAAGGTATATTGCATTTGCTGAATGTTAATAAACTTCTGGGTTCATGAGTGACCTCCATAAACCATGAATATATACATAAATAAAAGGAAAAAAATATGGAACGCTTCACGAACTTGCATGTCATCCTTTCTTGGCCATGATAATCCCTGCATTGCTCCAATTCTAGTGTATCTGCTGCCAAAATGAACGCATTTCTTTTATCTTTTGAAATCCTATTTGGGGTAAAAAGCTGTTTCTGGGAATCTCTCGAGAAAAATCACACAGCGCCATTGTTGTTTTTTTCCAAAAGCATTTTTTCTTCTTAAGAACTAGGTTTACAGAAAAATCTTGAGTTGGGAGCTCATGCTTCCTCAGAGCTTCAGAGATTAGTGGTTGCCAGATCCAAGCCAGTTTGTTTAAAGGCGGTGCTTTGGCGGCGTTCCCATGGAGAAGGAATTTCATTTGTATTCCCTTTGCCGATATTTTGCTTTTCCTTGTCTTTACTTTGCACCATTCCTGGAGTACAGCCCAAAGCTTCTTCTTTTTTCTTTTCTTTCTTTTTTTTTTTTTAAAGATTTATTTATTAAGTATACAGTGTTCTGCCTGTATGCATTCCTGCAGGCCAGAAGAGGGCACCAGATCTCATTACAGATGGCTGTGAGCCACCATGTGGTTGCTGGGAATTGAACTCAGGACCTTTGGAAGAGCAGGCAGTGCTCTTAACCACTGAGCCATCTGTCCAGCCCTCCACTCTGCTTTTTCAAACCGCAGGATCTGTCTTCCACTCTGCCATTTGAGTCAAATTCTGAAGCATATTTTCCTACCACATATTTGTCATACTATAAATTGAGCACCGTTGGGAGGATAGATTGACGTCATCAGCGGAGCCATGCCCACAGAAGGGCAAGGGCTGTTCTCTCGCTCAGGGCAGTGCCTCGAGAGCCTGACAACGACTGACACATTTTACACGGGGTAGGGAATGGGGCTACCTTAACTTGGGTCCGAAATCCCATAAATGCACGGCAATTTCTCTGGGGATATGAGACGTCCAGAAGCCCACTCGCTCCAGTCTAGAGTCCCCCACTTAGCTAGTGAATCCAGGAGCAGCCACGTTCTAGAGAATTCCAAGATGCACCGGCAAGGCGGACCCAAAGTAATCGTGCAGTGGGCAGCTTGCCGGAACACCAGAGAAACGGACAGGAAGTCACCTTTATTTAGCCCGCTGCTCGTTCTCAATTGTGGCCGAACGCCGCTTGCTCTCCTTCTGTCGTCTCCAGGTGCCGCTTCAGAACCGGCGCGATGGGCAAGAAGGGCAAGAAAGAGAAGAAGGGCCGCTGCGCGGAGAAGACGGCCGCCAAGATGGAGAAGAAGGTGTCCAAGGCTCGTGGGAGGAGAAAGTGAGCGAAACTCAGAAGGACGGCTGTGGAGGGAGGCGTGGCGTGGCCTGGGTCTATGGGTGGAAGGCCGGGAGCTGGAGTCGTGCCGGGGTTTGTGGGTGGCGGGCCTGTGCCGAGCTCGGCGCCCTCAGGCCTTTCCATTTCTCCGGTACCCTTCCACGCACCTGTACCCCTGGTTTACCGAGTCGCTGTCTCCCACGCTTCCTTTGAAGATCAGATCTGTCCCGGACGCCGTTCGGTTCTATTTGCTTCCCTTTCTGGTAGAGTGGAGCAGCGTGGTAGGGTTTAGTGGATTGCGTTCTGGGGAGTAAAGGCTTAACTGTACGGTGTTTTTTTTTTTTTTTTTTTTTGAGGCAGGGTTTCTCTGTGTAGCTCTGGAATTCACTATGTAGACCCCAACTGGCCTCGAACTCACAGAGATCCCCCCTGCCCCTGCCTCTTGAGTGCTGGGACTAAAGGCATGTGCCACCACCACTGCCAGCACAAGTAGAGTTAAGTAACCAGATAAGTCGCTGGAACTGTGTTGAACCAAGGCGCTGTGCTCATCAGGTAATGCCTGAACTGTCTGTCACAGTCATCTACAGATGACAGGCCACTTCCTGCTTCCCTTCTGCTACATCCGTCTGGGTCTTTGAGACAGGGTCTCACTGTGCGCTTTAGCATCCTCCTGCCTTAAACCTCCTGCGTGCCGGGACAAGAGGCTGGAGCTGCCAGCCTGGGCTCCACCATCTTCCCTGGACACCTTCCTGAGTTTCATTGCACAGGTCTCTTCCCCTGTGAGAGGGAGTAAGCCCCTGCTCTGAATGTGATGATTGAGTGTAATGCTGCATGTTAGGACAGCATCAAACAGCACCTGCTGGTTAGAGCCTCCCATGTGTGCCGCAGGGCTGGGCTGCTGCTAACCAGAGCAAGGTGCAATGTTCAGGAGTGGGGAGATGGTGGAGGGAACAGAATCACTTTGGATAAATTGTATGGTATAAGCTTATAGTTAGCTTTTTGGCAGATACAGAGAGGAGGTGAGAGCTGCTCTGCCTCTCAGGAAAGCTGTTCCCAAGTGTCAGGTATCCCCTGAGCACTGTGGTGTAGCTCTCCTCCTTGTCCCACACCCCAGTTCTTTCTCAGAACAGTTTGCTCTCCTGTCCTGGGAGGAAGTGGGTGTGGAACTAGGGACAGCTCTTCTGTGTGGACTTTGGAGGCTGAAGGCAGCTGATTATGAGGCTTGATGTCAGAAAAAGGGGAGGGAGGGCAGTGTTTGCCTGGTGACTTGATGGTTTGCCCCCAGAGAAATTAATAGTCAGGTGCATTCCCATTGTGCTGGTTGATTTTGTCAACTTGACATAACTAGAGTCACCTGGAAAGCAGGGGCCTCAGTTGAGGCATTGCCTCCAGCAGACTGTCCTGTGGGCACTTCTGTGGGGCATTTTCTTGATTAATGATTCACGTAGGAGGCTCAGATCACCATGGCTGATGCTGGTCCTGGGCAGGTGGCCCTGGGTCATGTAAGAAAGAAAACTGCGCAAGTTGTGGGGAGAAAGGCAGTAAACTGCACTCTTCCATTGCCTTTGCTTCAGTTTCTGCCTCCAATTCCTGCCCTGGCTGCCCCAGGTGATGTATGAAGTGAAAACTTTCCTCTCCAAGTTGGTTTGCTCTGCGTTTCATCACAGCAGAAGAGCACAGACCGCATGAAAAGGAAGGATGAGTTGATGTGGGTTTCAGTGAAAGCTGGGTTCTTTCTCTCTCTCTCTCTTTCTTTCTTTCTTTTTTTTTTTTTTTTTTTTTTTTACTTTATGGGCATTGGTGTGAAAGTGTCAGATCCCCTGGAACTAGATCTTCAGACAGTTGTAAGCTGCCATGTGGGTGCTGGGAATTGAACCCGGGTCCTCCTGAAGAACAGTCAATGCTCTTAACTACTGAGCCATCTCTCAGCCTTCTTTTTTTTTTCCCCCTTTTTTTTCTCAAGACAGGGTTTCTCTGTAGCTTTGGAGCCTGTCCTGGAACTAGCTCTTGTAGACCAGGCTGGCCTCGAGCTCACAGAGATCCGCCTGCCTCTGCCTCCTGAGTGCTGGGATTAAAGACCTGTGCCACCCATTCCTTATGCCACCCCGGGAAAAGCTGCATTTTCATTGGTGCAGTGTGGCGGTGAGCAGTGAGCTATGAGTGGAAAAATTAGTATACACTGTGATTTCCTGTGAAAGCACCATCTTTCTGGCAGCTGGGTCCTTGTTAGAGCCCCTTTGTCTGCTGCATACCCTCTGGGTGCTGGGATACAGCAGTGAGAATATTTGACCTTCCCAAGGAGTTCCCTGTTTTGTACCTTGTTTGGTCCTGAGGGTGTCTGGCTTGGGTAGTGCTTGGACTTCCTTGACAGAAGAGTGAGGCTGAAGTCAGAAACCTGTGTTGGGTTGTGCTTTGGTGGTGATGGGATAAAATGGGGTACAGAATCTTACACATGCTGACTGTTTGTGACACTGGTCTTAAGGGTTTTTTTTTTTTTGATGCTTAATGTTTTTTCACTGTGTTTCAGTGAAGTTACAAGTGAACCCAAATACCTGGCATCATATAGCATGGGGCAGGTTGGTAGGACTGTCCCGCCTGTCCTTGCTCCGCACCTTCTGTGTATGTGTGGACCAGCTTGGCTTCTGTTTGGGCTAGCAGGAAAGATGATTGCCGCCAGTCCACATGGTTTTTGGGAACATGCAGTGTATGTGTTTTTGAGGTTTTGTTGTTGTTGTTGGTTCATTTTCAGCCAAGTGCAGTACTAGTGAGGGTACAGGTGAAGCTGCCTGAGGTCTTTCAGTTACACGGGAGGGAGGACTCCTGGTCTCTTGAGAGAGTGGTCGGGATTGTCCTGAGATGCACAGTAGCCTTAGCCTGTGCTCTTATTCCAGGAGGTTGTTCTGAGCTGGGAGGCTACTGTAGGAATCAGTTGTAGCAGGGTGTTTGACTGTTTTCATCAACAGATGTTACCCCAGTCCCTGGGGCTGTGCACTCTAAGTCTCCAGGCTCTGAGGATGAGTGCTCTCTTGTTGCACAAGCATTAAGACCAGAGTTACGGTCCCAGCATCCATGTAAAAATATGGACGTGGTGGCACGTGCCTGTAACCCCGGTGTTGTCAGTGGCCGAGGTGGGGGATCACTGGAGCTTGCTACACAAGCCCGGCTCCAGGTGCCGTGAAAGACCCTGTCTAAGAATAAAGTGAGAGCGATAGACAGGATACTCGGCATCCTCCTCCTACCTCTGCACCCACACACAGACAAGTGCAGCCCCCCTCAGTGTGTGTACATTTCAGACACTCACACACCTGTGTATACATCCTGCACACTTATACACGTGTGTGTGCATACACATATACCTTACAGTTGTATAGAACTAGAACTCATACGTGTCCACATACCTCCCATTCATGCTATGCATATACCTTACACACATACACATGCTCATGTAAATATACCTCACATCCACCATGTGCATATGCTTTATACATACACATGTGCATACGCCTCATACACATGTCACACACCTCACATAGTGTGTATATGCCTCACATACATGTCCACATACCTCATCCACACATGTATATGCCTCACATGTACATGTGCGTACACCATAAACCCCTGTGAATATTCAACACAAGTACATATGCTTTATGTATGCACAGATACATATGACTCTCATGGTTACACCTCATATTCTCACGTGCATATACCTCACATACACATAACTAAAATAAACAGCACTGAAGCGCTTTCTTGTTACTTAATAAACAGAAATGGTATTTGTTCCTTGATAACCTATGAGAAGTTGCAGTAACTGCTCATTTAATAGGACAGTACATTGTCTGAATCTAAATAGGTGTCTATCTTGCAGTCTAGGGAAACACGGATGTATTAGATCCTTGACTATAATTAATACGCGTCGGGGAGTTTGTTCTAGGAGACAATGGCTGAGGGAGTCCCTGAGACTCTAGGTGGATGGTGCTGATGCTGTTTGTTATGCTGGGGCCAGCTGTGCTGTTTCATGGCTCACCTAATCTGTTTGCTTTCCTTTAACAGGCTGTGGTGGTGCCCCAGAGCGGTGGACAGCTGTGGGTCTTTGGTGGGGAGTTTGCATCTCCTGATGGCGAGCAGTTCTACCATTACAAGGACCTCTGGGTCCTGCACTTGGCCACCAAGACCTGGGAACAGATTCGGTAAGATCTGGGTGGGAGCCTGAGCCCTGGCCTTAGCTTGTGTTTCTGATTGGGACTGAGTTATGGGTGAAGCAAGCAGGGTGCTTTCCTGTGTGGTGGGGTGAGGGCTTCAGTGGAGGCATTGTTTAGAATGGTGAGCAGCGAGCAGTGTGTCAGGCCTGAGTCACCGTCTCCATGCATTTCCTCCAGTGTGGGTTCAGGGCTACTGCAGCCAGCGCTGATCCCGATGGAGATCGCTCATGATAAGACCAGGAGATGGCCCTGTTTTAGACGGATGTAGAAATAGCAGAGCTGGTCAGAGGAGGGAGGAACCTTCATGGTTCTCGTAAGCCAGGCTTGCAGTGCTGGTGCCTGCTTCTCTGCTGGGAGCCTCTGCTGTGTGTCTTTCTGTCTCTGAATGAGAATTACTGCAGAGAGAAGCCTGGCAGAATGGCCAGTTGTCAGCAGACTTAGTGATTGTATCTTCTTTGGGTGCTTCCTAGCCCTATTGCCAGGGCTATACATGCCACAGTGTGAGGGTCCTTCCCTCTCTGTTAATAAAGCAGTAAACCAGAATTATGAGGGAGCAGTCTCCTGGTCTTGGGACTGTCACCGGAGAGAATGTTGAGGTGCCTTTAACTCCCGATCCTCCTGAGTGCTGGCATTGCAGTCACACACCACCACCTGTGACCTAGTTGCCATTCTTGCCCTTCTTCTTCTTCTTCTTCTTCTTCTTCTTCTTCTTCTTCTTCTTCTTCTTCTTCTTCTTCTTCTCTTTCTCCTTCTTCTCTTTCTCCTTCTCCTTCTCCTCCTCCTCCTCCTCCTCCTCATCCTCCCTCCTCCTTCTTCCTCCCTCCTCCTCCTCCCTCCTTCTTTCTTCTTCCTAATTCTGGTTTTTAAGACAGGGTTTCTCTGTAGCTTTGGAGCCTGTCCTGGAACTAGTTCTTGTAGACCAGGCTGACCTCATACTCACTGAGATCTGCCTGACTCTCCCTCCCAAGCACTGGGATTAAAGTTGTGTGCCACCATTGCTGACTTTGGTTGCCATCTTCACCTGAGTTTGAGCTGCAGATCCTTGGTGGATAGAAAGATGTTACTTATGTGCTTTATTGCTTGTCAGAGGAGCCTCTGCTGACAGTTTGAGACTCAGCGGCCTCAGGGGATGGTGCTGATTCAGACCCAGCAGAATGTGCTTTCAGATATTTGCCTCATAACCAGGCGTAATGACACACAAGTCATTCTTGGCTCCTTTAGGAAGCCCGAAGTCCTAAGTGCATTGTTGATATGGGCACAGCCAAGCCATGGGCCCTATAACCTTTGACCCATGGAAGAATGGTAAAGCGCCTCCCCCCCCCCCCCCACACCCCTGAGGTGCGGCTGGGAGGAAGATAGTAATTCCTTTCTCTGATCCACGTGTGGCTGTTATTGTGTGTAGAGAGTGTCCACTGTGGCTTCTTTCCCCCCCAGATATTTACAAGACCGTGCTGCTGTGATTAATTAAACCAGTCTCCTAATACAGTTCCTTTCTCATCTGCATGGAGTAACTGCACCTGCTTGTTCAGCAAAATGCAATAGCCCTGATTCCCTGTTCAGCTCTGTAGAATAAGCACTCTGAACTTCCGGGTGGTTTCTCCATCAGAGATCCTAATCCACCCAGTCCCAGCCTTTTTGTGTGTGTCTGTGTCTGTCTTTTCTTCATTCCCTTGCCTCCCCAGCCAGATCCGTCCCTGGAGCTGAGTTAGTTCAGGTGTGGAAGTTAGGAGTGAGCACTGCACAGCTATGCCGTGCTGTGCACTTGCCTAGTAGTTGCTCTCCTTGTCTAGTCAGCACCACTGTATCAGGGGTCTGTGATGTTCACACTCCTCATGTTGATGTGAGTCTGACTCTTGTTTAAGACTCCTGATGAAATGCAGACACTGGGTTGAGGACCTTAATGGAAGAGCCCGTGCCTCCACTCAGTTGCCAAGTCCCAGATCCTGAGAGGCCTGATTGCTGATACCCTTTTGGTTTGGGGCATTTCAGGGCTTTTCTTCCCTTTTCTCCAGAAGGATCTCCCTGCAGCCCTGGCTAGACTGGAACTCTCTTTGTAGACCAGGATGGCCTTGAATTTACTGCCTCTGCCTCTACCTCACAAGTACCAGGATTAAAGTCATGGGTTACCATGCTTTGAACCTTTCCCATTTTCCTGGCCGCCCCTGACCTCATGACTGTGACAGACACCACAGCTGTGGCAGTCTTACTGAGTGAGCAGTTGTCTGATTTTTTTTTTTTTTTTTTTTTTTTTTTTTTGGTTTTTCAAGACAGGGTTTCTCTGTAGCTTTGGTGCCTGTCCCGGAATTAGCTCATGTAGACCAGGCTGGCTTCGAACTCCCAGAGATCCACCTGCCTCTGCCTCCCAAGTGCTGGGATTAAAGGCGTGCGCCACCACCGCCTGGCTCCAGTTGTCTGATTGGTTGGAAAGATCTAGAAGCCAGCCACAGTGCAGGGTCCATGATTTTGATTCAGGTCCTAGTGGTGCTTGGAATGAGCCCTCCAGAATTGTGGAGGGTTTGTTCAACAGGAGTGGATGGCACCCAGTCTAGGATGGCAGTTGGCAAGGGGAGATCTGCCTTGGTGTTGGGTCAGTCCAGATGGAATCTTCCATTTGGATCTGAGATTAGCCTCTGATATGGGTGGATGGATTTCAGTGTCTGTCTGTCTGTCTGTGTGCATTAGCAGGCCAGAGGAGCATGCTGAGTGCTCTGCTCTATTACTCTCCTCCATCTTAGTTCTTTTAAGACAGGGTCTCTCAATGAACCTGGAGCTACGCTATCTGCCAGGATGTCCCAGTCCCAGCCATCCTCCTGCCCCACCTCCCACAGCTTGGGTTTACAAACCTATGTGGCCACTGTGCCTTTTTCATGGGTGCTGGGGGGTTAAATACTGGGGAGTCCTTGTGCTTGCACAGCAAGTTCTCTTTCCCACTGAGCACTAGTGTTGGATGCTTGGCTGTTTACTCTCTAAGCCTGCACTGGTGTCTGATACATGGACATTCTCTATGCATATCTCACAGCAGCTGGGTGGTGGAGTTGGTGATGCTGGCTGGCAGCATGCCCTATGGAAATGCTATGCTGTGCACAGCCCAGAAGAGCTAAGAGCCTGGTGCCCACATCATTGTGTGCGTGTCTTTGTGCTATACATAGGCTTCTGGATGAGTGGGGCAACTCCATATTTAGGATTGACTGCAATTGAAAGCCTATTGGAAACTTGAATATAAATGGGCTGTTGGGAGGGTGCCTTTATTCTTCTGTAGGGAATGTGGACCCTCTTTATAGCCCCCCACTTTATTTTTAGTTACAGAACAATGGTGCTTACTTTACTGCTGCTGCCACAGGTGTGTCTGTGGCATCTGACTCAGCCAGAGGATGACCTGGTGGGGTTCCTGGTCAGGAAGCTGTTGGGAACCTGGCCTAAGTCCCTAGGGTTCTGGGGTCATAGATAGCCAGCTTGCCAGTGGCCTTGCCTTCTGTCACTGGGTGGCACTGAGAATGTCCAGTCTCTTCTGTGGCTGCTGTGGTAGAAATAGGGGTATGTGAATGTGCTGCTTCAGGTGTGCAGTGAGCGCCTTCTCCACATCAGCGGGAGCTGCCCTTTGGCCCGAGCAGTCACTTTCTTTCTTGTCCTTGTGTCTGTGCGAGATGTGGTTATGCTGTCTGCTCACCCTGGGATGTGGCTTTTTCCCATGTGCACATTTAGGGTCCCGCTGTATTATGGTCCAGATAGTCCTCTTGGTCTAAGGAAGCTTGCTTGTTGCGTGATGATGCACCCTAGACTGACACTTTTGAGTCTGGAATGATGTTTGCTGTGTGTTTTTTTTTTTTTTTGATGTTTGCTGTTTTTAATCATGAATTTTGACCCTAGAACATACTTATTAAATTACCAGTAATACAAAGCTAGGAAAAGGCAAATAAATTGGTTGACAAATTGTGTATCCCCCAGTCTAATGAGATTTTCTGTATAGGGCTGTAAGGAAGGGTGAAGCACATTTGGCTCTAAAGCTGCCCTTCCTGATAGAGTAGAGGGTGAGCCGCATGTGACCACCTAAAAGGGTGCCTGAGGGTGAGTCCCTAGAAAATGGTGTTTGGAAGGTACTGATTTCCGGTTGACTTTCTGTAGACATACTGGCCATCCTGGGTGACTTTAACAGGGATGCTGGGGATGTGGTGGGTATAGTCAAGCATTTGGGACAGTCTTTACTCTGGACTGAGCTAGGGAAGACCCCAGCAGACACCCTGTGCTGTGCTTCAAATGCTGCATCTGAGCACTCGTGAAGGGTGGCTTCGGGGCAGGATCCTTTCAATGTTGACATTCTGGGCGGATGCATTTGTTAGGAATCTTGCTGTTTGTGGGATCTTTTTAAAGTTTTATTTTATTTTGTGTGTGGGGGAGGGGATGTGGAGACAGGTGCCTGTGGAAGCCAGATGAGGGCATTGGATCCTCAGGTGCTGGAATTACAGGTAGTTGTGAGCTACCCAGTGTGGGTGCCAGAAACTGACCTCTCATCTTCTAGAAGAGCAACAAGTGCTTTTAATTTGTGAGTCATCTGTCCTCTGAGCCAGCCCCCACTTTGTGGGGTTTTCACATAAAATCCTGTGTAACTGCCTGTAGCAACTTGACTTTCCTGCATTTGGCTTTGGAGCAGTGGGAGGGCTGGTGAGATTGCTGCCTGGAGGCAGAGCACCCACTCCTTGGCAGGAAGAGAGGCTCTGACAGAGCAGACCTCAGAGAACCTCTGTCTGGGCTCTGGTCTGTCTTTGGCAGCCAGCAGCCTTTTACAGTGACAGGCACTCTTTCCTGCCACCCTTTCCCCATGCTCCTCTCTGTCTTCTCTCTTTCGCTTACCAGAGTGATGTGCGTTCACTGTGGAAAGCTTGGGGAATGTAGAAGACAGACAATAATAAAACTGCTCAAAACCCCGGATTAGAATCTTATGTAATGTTGCCTTCCATTCTTATGAACACTTTTCTCTGATATGAAATATTTTAAACTGATTTAAATAAAAAGAACAACTTTGTCTGACAGAGTAAAGTGGATTTCCCACTTAAGTTTACAGTTGGAAAGTTTGTATTTTTGTTCCTATTATTTGTTTATTGTGTGTGAGGGGGAGAAGTAATGTGTGTGTTGAGGCCAGAGGTCAATATTTGGTGTCTTTTTGATTGTTTGTTTGTTTGTTTTTCAGGACAGGGTTTCTCTGTGGTAGCTTTGGAGCCAGCCTATCCTGGAACTAACTCTGTAGACCAGGCTGGCCTTGAACTCCTGTCCCCCGAGTGCTGGGATTAAAGGCACGCACCGCCACAGCCTGACTTTCTTTTTTGGTGTGTTCTTTATGCTCTCCACCATACTTTGAGACAGTTTCTCACTGATCATGGAGCTCACCAGTGGGCAAGGAGCCTGACCAGCCAGCCCAGACCCACCCATCTCCATCCCAGCATTGGGATCACAGGTGCACACCACTATGCTGAACTTGGTGGTGTTTTTTGATTATTTTTGTTTTGATTTTGGTTAAAAAAAAAATCTGATTTTGGGTCCTTGTGCTTGTGTGACAACTATTCTATAGGCTCAGACTTTTTTCTTTTCTTTTTTTGTTGAAGGGGTTTGAGACAAGATCATTATGTTGTTCTGTCTGTACGGGAATCCACTATGCAGGCCAGGCTAATTTTGAATTCATAGAGATACACCTGCCTCTCTCTCCCAAATGCCTGGGATTAAAGATGTGCACCACCATACCTAACCTATTGTATACTGGTTCTTTTGTTTGTTTGTTTTGTAGCATTTATGTATGTGAATGTTTTGATTGTATGCATATAAATGTTTGAAGAGAATGTCTATATCTGGAATTAGAGAAGGTTGGTTGTGAACCACTGTGTAGGTGATGCTAATTTAACCAGGATTTTCTGGAATACAGCCAGTATCTTAACCAGTGCTCTGACCCCTTCCTTTAACAATATTGCTGTTGTTGTTGTTATTATTATTATTATTTATTTACTATCTCTCTATGTATCCCAGGTTCGTCTTGAACTCACTGAAATCTGCCTAATTCAGTCTCTGCGGTACTAGGATTAAAGATGTAGGCAACCACGTCTGACTTGAGTGTGTGTGTTTGTGTTGTTTTGTTTTTGTTTGTTTTCGAGATGGGGTTTCTCAGTGTAACAATCCTGACTGTCCTGGAACTCACTTTGTAGACCCAGGCTGGCATCAAACTTACTGAGATCCACCTGGCTCTGCTTCACAAAGTGCTGGGATAAAAGGCCTGTGCTACCACTGTGTAACCTTAACTGCCTTAAAACTTGCTCTGCAGACCAGGCTGGCCTGGAACTCAAAAAGAGGCATGCCTCCCTAGTGCTGGAATTAAAGGAGTGTACCACCACTGCTGAGCATACCTGACTTTATCTATCTCTATCTATCTATCTATCTATCTATCTATCTATCTATCTATCTTAGCATATTTTGAATTCTTTCTTTAACAGAATCCAACCTAGTATTTTTTGCCTGAAAAACATTTATTCCAAGTCAGAGATTCTGCTATTTCTGAAAGTCTTTACTGTCTAGGAGTTGAACTCAGGGATTTCACACACTCCTAAGGAAGTATTCTACCACTGATCTACCCTCTTACCCCTCCAGAAGCCCTATAGCATCAGGCAGGACTGTTAGGTCGAGTCTAGTAATTGAAGAGATAATGAAGGGAACTTACTAAGTGTATTGAAAATGAAAATCAAGAGCTGAAGATAGCTCAGTAGTCAAGAGTGCTGGCTGCTCTTCCTGAGCACCAGGGTTCAGTTCCCAGCACCACATGGCAGATCACACTCGCTGTAACTCCAGTCCCAGGGGATCTGATGTCCTCTTCTGGCTTCCTGAGTGCACCAGGACCCCACATAGTGTACAAACGTACATGTGAACTAAACTCCCACCCACACATACACAAATGCTAATTAAATTAAAAAAATCAGCCAGGTGGTGGTGATGCACGCCGTTAATCCCAGCACTTGGGACGCAGAGGCAGGTGAAACTCTGAGTTCAAGGCCAGCCTGGTCCACAGAACGTGTTCCTGAACAGCTAGGGCTATTGCACAGAGAAACCCTGTCTCAAAAAATGAAAACAGCAACAGAAAAAAAAACCCACAAAAATACCTAACTTAATAGTGTTTTTTTTCCCTCCTCTTCATTTTAGATCAACAGGTGGTCCTTCAGGTCGTAGTGGACTTCAGATAGTGGCCTGGAAGTAACAGTTAATTCTTTTTGGTGGCTTCCATGAAAGCACGAGGTTGGGCCTCTTCTGGAGCACAGGGTAGAGGTTGCATGGACCAAACAATCTGATCAGCATAGGAGCACTTCTCACTAACTTCCTGGGGTCATGGCTTGGCAGCGACAGTGTGTGACAGCCACATGAAGTATTGAGGAAAACATGGGCTTGTCCTTACATTAAGTCGGCACCTACTGTGTGCATGGTTGTGTGCGAACCAGAGTAACCCTTCCCTCTTACAGATGTGTAGATTGTGGATCACCATTTCACAGTGGTTTTTAATGATTCTTTAGGGGACTGGAGAGCTGGCTCGCCAGGTAAGAGCACTTGCTGCTCTTCCAGAGTTCAGCTCCCAGCACTCATGTCTAGTAGCTCACAGCTGCCTGTAGCTTCATCTCCAGGATGTCGAATGCCCTCACCAGCCCCTGCACACCCATGCAGACATGTACATATAAATGCACATAAGCGGAAATAAGCGGTTTTTTTAAGTACAAACCTATTTAGGAAACACTTAGGCATACAGACAAAATGACAGTCCTACGGAGAATGCAGTCACCATCTTATTAAATTAGCCTGACTTTTAAATACCACCATTCTGAATTCTTATTTATCTTCAATTCAGAGTAGACTTTTTTTTTAAAAAACTGAAAGTGGAGTTTGAAATTGGAGAAAACTGGATTATAGTAATTCTCCTAGAAACCTGGAGCCTCCCATCCTTCATGTGCCTTTGTAAAGGACTTTGTGGGTTTGAGGGGCAACTAGCATTTCCCATTGCTTCTTAGCATTCCTCTAGAGCAGAAGAGGCAGACTACCTTGTGCCAGCTTTGCCCCTGCAGTTTCAGCCCTCCACCTTGTGCATATGAGGGGGCAGAGCCTGCCTATGCCAGCTCTCCCACTACAGCCTTCAGGGCTCACAGTGGACAGTTGAGCTCCTCTTCATAGCTGAGGCCAGTGTCTGTTCAGTGACAGGCACCCCAGAATAGCCAGCCTCCCTGTTTTGTTTTCAAGAGTCCTATGTACTGAGTACTCTGGTGTCTGAGTCCGTGGCTCTGAGCAGAGTGAGCATTAGGTGGAGCCTCCCATTCCTGCCTGGTGGTAGGTGCGAAGGGTCTGTTCCTGCCCTTGGCCTGTGTGCATTGCTCTGTCCCTGCCCATCCCTGCCTCAGTTCTTACCAAATGGTCAGTCTTCTGCCTTGTGATCATTGTCACACTCAGTAGCCAAATTTGCCTGATGTCACTGGGGTAGGAAATGGACAATTTTCATAGTAAGTTATACTGTGATTGTGACTGGAGTTGTTTCTGATTCTTCTATAAATTCAGGATCTTCAGCCTTTCATTTGGATTTAAACTTGAAGCAGATGTCTAGGTGAAACACAAGTTTGCCTTCAGTATAATTGGTGCACTAATGACCCTGCCTTCCCCTGTCATCTCTGTGGTGACCTGTGTCCTTTTTTCCCCACCAGGGACTATATCTACTACAGTGATGTGTACGCCTTCAGCCTGGATACCTTCCAGTGGAGCAAGCTGTCCCCTTCAGGCCCTGGATCCACACCCAGATCAGGCTGCCTGATGGTTGTCACACTCCAGGGCAGCATTGCCATCTATGGGGGCTACTCAAAGCAGGTAAGGGCCCCTGTGCTTAGAATTGAGAGGGGTTTCTATTGAGATGGGAGCAGCCTTGCTCTGAGCTGTAAGCTGCAGTGGTAATGGGTCCGCTCCTCTTTAAGCATACAGATATGGGTGTGTGGGTGGGGGTGTGTGGTGGTGTGTGTTCATGTGGATGTGAATTTATGTAGGCATGTGGTTGTGGGTGGGTGTGTAGGCTGGAGGTTCCCATCAGGCATCTTTCTCAGCTGCTCTCCACCTGGTTGTTTTAAGACAGGCCTCACACTGAACATGGAGTTGGTCAGTTGGCTGTGCCTCTGCTGTCTCCCGGGATTAGGGTTATAGATGCTGGCTGCCAAGCCCAGCTTTTACGTGTTTGTTGGGGATGCAAGGTTAGTTCATGTTATGCCAACCTCCCAGGAGCACTGCCAGGGGAACAATCTGGGTTTACATTCTAGCCGATAAAAGGACTGCATAGTGTCCTCTCTCTGTGTCTGCAGCCATTGCTGTAGCTGTGTTCCCAAGCCAGTGCTTGGGAGTCTCTTGGCTTTTGGAGTGCGGTATCTGTAAGCGTTGGTCACCCACTTGCCCTGCTCCTTACTGGTACTTTGCCATTCCTGACATTGCCATAAATCCAGGGTTTAAAAAACAAAACAAAGACTAGCTCATATTCTTTTATTTAAAAATCCTTTGTATTTCAAAAATTCTCACAGAGTTAACGTGAATCTTTTCAGTGACCACCTGCGTGCCCTGGGACTCCGTCTTTCCTGTTCCAGCACACTTGTTTGATCACCTGTGTTCACGCAGCTGTGTCCCTGACTCTTCGTTATGTTTTGTGTAGTTCGTAGAAAAGTACAGGGTCATGCCTGAACGTGAGTTTGTGTGCATGTCCTTTCACGTATGTGAGTGTGTGGAGTCAGAGATCCGTGTTGACTGTCACGTGCTTTATTTGCAAGGCAGTGAATACACCCCGCTGTTGGGCCCCCACATAGTCCTTTCTGCCCCACAAGCTCTGTAGTCTACAACTTGTGGGTCTTTGCTTTCTTTAATTGGGCTGGAGAGATGACTCAGTGGTTAAGAGCACTGACTGCTCTTCCAGAAGTCCTGAGTTCAATTCCCAGCAACCACATGGTGGCTCACAGCCATCTATAATGAGATCTGGCGCCCTCTTCTGCAGGTGCACATGGAAGGAAGGTTGTATACATAATAAATAAATAAATAAATAAATAAAAGAATATCCTGTATTTATTGTTTTGACACATCCATTTACAGTACATCTAGAACAAAGCCAGCTCTTACAATTCCCCATCCTAGACATCTCCCAGCATGCCCATTCCCACCTTAATGCTCTTTCTTTTTTGCATTTTGTAACCCACTGTGTCCAATTAGCACAGCCTGCCAGAATAGTGATAAACCTTGTTGGCTTGATCTTACGCAGGTCCTTTGCAAGTGACCACAGCTGCTCTGAGTTTCACGAGTGTAATGTTGTGTCGTGTCCTAAACATGTGACGCCTTTCACAGTACTCCTCCTCTCCCCAAGCTCTTACATTCTTTCTGTCGCCTCTTCAGTGATGTTCCTGAGCCTTAGGAGGTGGGGTTGCTCTCAGTATCCTATTTAGGGCCAAGCACTCAACAGCCACTTATTCTCAGCTCTGTGACTAGCTGTGAGTCTCCTGTGTTTACTGTTGCCCACTGCGGAGAGACGCTTCTCTGACCATGGTAGAGGGCAGCACTGGTCTGTGGGTAGAAGCATAACTATTTAGAAGACAGAGAGGCAGCCGGGAGGTGGTGGTGCACGCCTTTAATCCCAGCACTTGGGAGGCAGAGGCAGGTGGATCTCTGTGAGTTCGAGGCCAGCCTGATCTACAAGAGCTAGTTCCAGGACAGGCTCCAAAACCACAGAGAAACCCTGTCTCGAAAAAACCAAAAAAAAAAGACAAGAGAGGCAATGTGTCCATTTAGCAGAACAGTAGTAGCCTAGGGCCTGTGACCCCTCGAACCAGGGGCCTTTGACTGAGTTTACAGTACCAGGCATGAATTGTCTCCTGTGGAGCAGCCTCAGCTCCAATCAGTAGTTACTGTCCCCATAACGGTAATGCCACTGTTTCACCAATGAACACATCTTGTCTGGAAAGTCGGTATTCAGTTTCAACTCTTGGTGCTGCTGTGCTTGAGGATTGTGTTGTGGATGTGTGGTCTTGGGGTGGGTTATCTTTAGCCTCTGGGCAGAAGCATAGACTGTGTGTCCCTTTGATCAAAATGGGAGCTGCATTGAGTTCCCCGTTGACTGTCTAGAGCCAAGGACCAAATCAGCTTTCTCAGGGGTGGTTGGACCGTGGTGCCTTATGTGACATGTGTCCTGGAAGGCAGCAGGAGCCCAGGTCACTCAGCCACTGTGTCCCCCTCGAAAACCCCATGTTGTATTTGTGTTATTCTCGGGTACAGTCTTCATTCTTAGAGGTAAGATTGGGGAGGACACTTTTGGGTGGACTCCCTGAACATGCGTGCTCAGCCCCAAGGTGTGGAACCATATGTGAGGGCAGATGAAGTGTGAGAGATGGGAAGGAGGAGCTGCTGTGGTCCTGTCCTTGCTTGACATTTTAAAGAGTGTTTTCTTACTCAGGAGCACACAGACATTACTAGGATATGTTATACTGTGTGCTCAAATGTGAGTCATTTGCCAGTGTTGGCAGGAACCTGGAGGCTGGACAGTGGGCCCAGCAAGTAGCCCCATGATAAGGGAGTCCTGTGCTATGAGCAGTGCTCCCTCTGTAGATGCACAGTGTGAGATGGTGGGCCTCCATAACTTCATGTTGGTGTTTTCGGCTCCCTCACCACAGCACCTGCTGCTGTGACGGGTTGACTGGGGACCACTAGTGGGCAGGCCCAGAGTCCTACCCACACACCATGGGCCTAGTCGGCCACTTCCAATGCTTGGCTACTAGCACTTTTTTAATGTTTGGTGAGGGATAATCTCAGTTCTTTCTTCCAGAAGTAACGGGAAGACATTTTCCATGTGTCAGAAGAATTTGACACCTGTTGGGAAAGCTGAGAGCAGCTGTCCCTGATGAGAGGTGGTGTAGTCCAGGGCTGGGTGAACTGGCTTAGGACCCCAGTGAGGTATATTTTAGCCCATGATCCTCCTCTAGCAAGACGGCACCTCCACATCTGTCTCTCTCTGCCGTTCAGTCGTTGTTTCCAGGCTCCCTTAGAAGGTGAGGTCTGGTGTCACACAGCTGAGCTTTGTGAACCACCTTGAGGGTGGTTGACTGGCATCCCCTCTTCCTACAAGGGGGGCAAAGTGAGTTTCCATGCCTAAACAGTTTCAAAAACTCACAATTGGCCTCATCCCAGGTGCCCCAGGCTCTCTGTGTGTTCTTCCTGGTTCTTAGTGTTCCCTCTTTCCCCTTCCTCTGTTTTCTTTGACAGGCAAATGGGCTTAGGCCCGGATTAACCTGTCAGGGATCAAGCCTACTCCAAGCTCTGGCTTTTCTGTGGCCCTGGCTCCAAATTTTCAGATACTGTTCTTCGGGGGGCCTGTGGTAGGAGGAGGAGGAGGAGGAGAGCCTGGAGGGCTCATCCTTTAGTGACTTATATATCTACGATCCTGCCGGGAGTCGCTGGTTCGCAGCATAGCTAAAGGTAGCCTAGGCTCCTGAGAGTCTTCCATATTACCTGTCTGTCTCCTACCCACTCTCGAGCCTTGTTGCTTCCTTTTAAGGCCCATGTACTCTTCTGTGTGGGTCCTGGGTGACTAGGCTTGTGGTCCCTCTTCTTTCTTGGTGTACTCCTTGGCAGAGCCGAGATGTTGAGCATGTCAGGTTCTCTGTGCCAGTTAATGTCTGTTGTTGCTTGAGCTCAGCCCTGTTTCCATCCCCCTTTCTGTTCTCCTTGTCAACAGCTGCTGCCCAGGACCTACCTGGAGCAGACAGACTAGCAGGTGATCGTCCCAGGTCGCCCTGGCATCTGTACAAAGAAACGGCTCTGAGTGCCCACAGTATGCGAGCACTAGTACCTGCTGTGGGCTCAGCCTCGTGGAAGGGTCTATGATAGACGTAGATACGATATGATAGAAAACCTTGCCCCTGCTCTGAGAAGCTATACCAGGCATGGCCACTCAGGGTCTTCGACATTGCCCAGAGCATTGAACTCAGTGTGTAGGTTAGCCTTCTATCTGCAGATTCCTTGGCCCTCAGGCCCCAAGATGTCCTTCAGGGGCTGTTCTGTATGAAACGCCCACTGCAGCCTCTGGATGAAGTGGGTCTTGTGTCTAGAACAGGAAGCAGGTCCAGGTTAGGTGGAGGTGGTCATAGCTGGAATATTTGAATATAGCTCAGTAAATGACATCTTGTGAACGTGGTGTTCTGCCAGACGATGGTGGCTACTACAGAGCCACTCAGCTGTACTCTTCAGAGTGGCCAGGGAGACAGAGTACATGTCCTCCTGCAGGGGAACCCAGTAGGAGGGTACCTTAGTGCTGGTGACGGAGGGTCCTGCATGGTCTTGAGGGTCAGGGTGGAGTTCTGACCCTCCTGACATCCAGCCCTGTTGTTGGCGGGGAGTGATCTGCATCCCTTCTGTGAGTGACAGTGTGAATGGGTAGGATTTCCCAAGAAGAGCCTCAGACACCTTTGTCTGTATGTTAGCCAGGCCTGGTCTCACCTGGGTGCTTCCCAGTGTGGGACTCAGGAATGACTGTCCCTCATTACAGTGAAGGCTAGGAGGCTGTTCCTCGCTGCCATCCTGGCTACCTGGAATGTCTGCTCACGCCTGCGCTGCTCCACACCTCTTCCAGGGATAGCGTGTTAGATGGCATGTTGACTGGTGTGGTAGAGGGAGGGCTCTTACTGCCCTGCTGTGCAGCTTGAGTTGTGTTAACAGGGCCCCAAGTCAGAGAAGAAGAAGAGCCTGGTGCTCCCGAGCTACTGGAGGTGATAAAAGAGGTGGTGGCTGAAGATGGGACAGTGATCACCATCAAACAAGTGCTTGCTCCCTCTGGGCTGCTGGTGGTGCGATCCCCACCTAAGGCTGAAGACAAGTGCTCTGGAGGCCAGCAGCACTGGGCAGGAGCCATGTCTGCGTTTAAATGCCATGCTGGAAGTCAAGCATGGACAGCTCTATGTCTCTGGTGGCATGTTTGAAGCTGGTGATCACCAGGTGACCCTTAGTGACCTCTACTGCCTTGACCTTCACAAGATGGAAGAATGGAAAACCTTGGTAGAGATGGATCCAAGTAAGCTGGGTTGGGTGAGACCTCTGTATGGAATGAGACTCTTATGAGAGCCTGTGCCCTGCCCTGTAGGGACCTCTGCTCTTGACTCTGGGCCAGGCTTCCCTGAGAAGAGCCTGGGGGATAGAGAGGGACTCACTTGGCACACACCTATGTACTCTCAGTGCTAGCAGGAGCAAAGTGGGTCACAGCACAAGTCACTGGTTCCTGGGTCAGACCTGCTCCATGTGCCTCGCATCTTCTCCCAGGCCAGTGCAGACCAGGCAGAACTGGAGCCTGCCTTTGGTGGCTGGTACTCAGAGGTGGTCGCTCTCTCCATCACTGCTCAGAAATCATGACATCCCCATTTTATCCTTGTCTGCCGTTGGCCCCAAATCCTTTACTTTTTTTTTTTTTTTTTTTGGTTTTTCGAGACAGGGTTTCTCTGTGGTTTTGGAGCCTGTCCTGGAACTAGCTCTTGTAGACCAGGCTGGTCTCGAACTCACAGAGATCCGCCTGCCTCTGCCTCCCAAGTGCTGGGATTAAAGGCGTGCGCCACCACCGCCCGGCTACTTTTTTAATTAATTTACTTTTTTGGACAGTGTCACTATGTATTCCTGACTGACCCGGAACTTGCTGCAACAACCAGGTTGGCCTTGAACTCAAATACCTCCACACCTCCTGAGCTCTGGGATTAAAGATGTGCCTTCCACGCCCCCTTCCCTCATTTCCATCCTTCACTTTTCTGAGATTGGAGAGTAAACCTGCAATGCATCTCTAGGGAGAGGCACTACCCATAGTGCAGGGTCTGTCACTATCTTCTGGGAACACTGGGGCTGTAGGGTCCAGGAAGAGGCAGCCTCCACTCAGGTGCCCACAGGTAGGATGGCAGTATGGCTGAAGTTGGTGCCCACCACAGTATCATTCCCAAGTTGCTCTGAGGTCTGAGAGGCAGGTGCTGGTCTGTTAATCCCAGGCTTCAGGACAGGAGAGTTGGGGTTCCTGTTCAGTTACCTGGGTAGCTGTCGGCACAGGCACAGTGGTAGGCACAGTGGAGCGTCTTTTGAACTTGTCTACTGGTCTCAGGTGCCAGAGGCAGGACTCAGAAGCACTGGGGCCTGTCCAGGATGAGGGAGATGGGTGCCCCGCTCTGATGGGAAGGAGGCTCAGGCTGTAGGAGGGCTCAGCCCTGCCTTTACCCTCTTTCTGCCCTCCCAAAGGTGGAGTGCATCGTGAGCGATTCCAGCACCTTGTGCTCCCACCTGGTGCTGAAACGAGGCGTTAACAGTATAGAACTTTCAGGCAGGGTGTTCTATTGGGGATCCTGTTCCAGTCCACGAGGGACTGCACCTGCGGCAGGGGTCTCAGAAAGGTTTGTGATGAAATGAGACGAGCTTCCTTTGGTCTTAAATGAGTTTATTAAGTAAAGGAGCAGAGACTTTTGAATCTTTAGTTTCCCTTGCTTCCAGTGTGAAATCTGATTGGAAGTTACATTCATTAGAGAGGATTTGTTTCCAGTTTTTGACTAACCAAGCTGTTTCCAGCTGAGGCGGCCAAGGCCAGAACAGCCTTGCCTGCAGAGCAGTTGCATTAGCGGGTGGTGTGCATGCAGCAAGAAAAGAGCAGAGAAAGGTAAAGCGGATGAAGACTGTTGCTTGCCTCAGTCACGGAAGAGCGTCTACACCAGTGTTGTGGTCTCGTGAAGCTCAGCACACGGTTCTCAGGTCACCTGGGTGGCTTTCCTTTCGGGAGTGCTGAATGGTGCAGTTGGCCTGCTGGAAGGGAGGGCTGACCCGTGGGCAACAGCAGGCTCAGGAGTGCCAGCCCAGAGAGCCACTGTGTATAACGGTGTTGTCCGTGGACCTGCGTCTACAGCATCTACAGATACCTGGGCCCCGAGTGGGGGGCAGTGATCGGGCTGGCGGCGTTTGCCAGCCATTGGGTCTCATGGTTGGAGGAAGGAGTGATGCTGTGTGCACCTGGTGCCACCTTGTGCCCCGAGTCTTCAGCCTCTACTCAGTGTCTGCCCACCCACCCTGGATAGTAGTGGACTCAGAATGGCCTGTGGTGGGAGGGAGAGAACAGAGCCCTTTGGTGGGCAGAGTTGAACTGTGTACTCCACAGACTGCTTGTTTCTGTTTCTGCACAGTTCAGGGGAGGCTGCAACATGAAAGCTACTATGTATGCCTTTAGAACATGATTCTCAAGAGCCTCAGACTTCACCCATAGAGAGAGCTCTGGTACAGGGATGACCTTCACCAAAGTTGGGTCAGGGTCACCAAAGTAGACAGAAAGCCACATGGTCAGCAGGCACTGTCAACAGGGAAGGGGACCAGCACCTAACGGAGACCCATCTGCAGCTGGGTGGGTTAGGACAAAGGGCAGGATGAGTCACCCTCAAGTGCTTACCCTACACATGGGTGTCAGCATCTTGACGTGCCGTCTGGGGTGGATGGGCTACAGGCCAGCCCAGAAGTGAGGTAGATGTGTGTGGCCTTGCCTGTTCAGACAACCTTGGAAACCATGTCCCAACAGGCCAGCTCCTGTGGAATGTACCCACCCCCACCTTGATGTAGTCCCAATATTTCTCTGAGGCTTGGTAAGGAACTGAGCATTTCAGCCTGGCCACACTGGGGGGGTGGGGGGGGTGAAGAAGCAGACTCCAGAAGCAGTGCCTACTAGGGCTGGAGAGCGCTTGGCCACGTGAGGGCTGCCAGTGCACTTGAAGGGCTTCCCTTCCTGCCACATACCTGCACCCTTGTTCTCCTGCTGTCACAAAGGCCTCACCCAGCTCCCCAGGGAGAGGGAGCTTGAGTCTTGAGGGCCTGTTCCCAGAATTCACACTGGAATGCACTTAGCTAGCGTTGTTTGTAATTTCAACAAAGGCAGCTATACCTTTCCTTCTTTAAAGGCCAAGGTACAGCCGGGCGACGGTGGTGCACGCCTTTAATCCCAGCACTCGGAAGGCAGAGGCAGGCGTATCTCTGTGAGTTCGAGACCAGCCTGGTCTACAGATCTAGTTCCAGGACAGGCTCCAAAGCCACAGAGAAACCCTGTCTCAAAAAACCAAAAAAAAAAAAAAAAAAAAAAAGGCCAAGGTACATAGGACAGACAGTTCTTGGCACTTGGGACGTTTGATTGCAGCTGACCTCAGTGAGACAGCACAGCTAAGGGCTCACAATCCCTTCTTTGTGTGCTAACTCACTGTTATGGTGAAGTAAAGTTGCAGAGCCTGTGGCTGTCAGTTGCTCGTAGAGCGTGGAGACATGTTGGACTCTAGGAGGTACTTTGTGCTGAGCTTCCGGGACTGGAGGCTGCAACAGTGGGAGGACAAGAGCGGGAAGTAAAAGTGAGCTTAAGCTGGAAGAGAGCAGAACGTCCCCACATTGTCTTGAGGACGGTTACAAGGGACAAAACAAACAGCTAAGAGACCCTTGGAGCAGGGCAGGCGCAGATGTACGACAGGGCCTGCCTGATGTTGGTGGAAGGGTTCCTGCCTAGAACTGCCCAGCCATTCAAGGGCTGTGGAGGGCAACCAAGACTCACCCAGGAACCTCTCATCTCTTTGAATGTTCATCCCTGATGCTCACTCTGTGGGCTCCAAGTAGTGTCTTCAGTCTCCCTGAGGGTGGCCCTGTGTTCTGTCTAAACTGGACCTGTTTGGCCAGTGAGCAGGAAGAAACTGGAACTGGGATGTGTGGCTGTGTTCTGCTTGCCCTGGGTACCGACCAGGCCAGAGGTAGCCATGGCTGTCGTTCACATGGGGAGGAGCCTGGTGTCGGGTGTTTGTCAGTAGTTGGGTTCAAGGCAGAAATTTTCATGGAAAACAGTCTGCTGTCTGTGCTCCCTGAGATCCTGTGTGTGACCCTTGCATTGTGGGTGCTGTGTGGGATTTCTGGTCATCACCATCATGACCAGTTATCCTGGGTTCTGTGCTGTTGCCTGGTCTGTGACATTGGGACTCCTAGAACTTGGTATTGTGATGGCAAGATTCATCCATGCACCCCATATGTGCCAGCATGAGCCTTCAGTGTACAGGACTCAATGCTCCCCAGCCGTACAGCCTTGCTACAGGCACGAAAGACCTTGGGTGTCTTCCTCCTCCAGGAAGGATTTCTCATTCTGGAAGGAAGTGTGCTTGTCTTCTGAGATTGAGCTGGATCTTAGTTAAAACCCATCACATGCTGTGTACCCTGGGAGCCAGAGCGACATGCTGTTCTGTCCCCACCAGCCACCATCCTCCTCTTGCCCAACATGCTGCATCCACTTTGCCTTCAGGGAGGAGGTGGGCTCTGCACAGAGGGGAGAACAGTAGCCTTAGGTGTCTCCTTCACTGCAGGGCAGCTTGCTAGAGCCCCCAGGACCCAGTGTGCATCTCGGGATCCATCACCTCTGCCTAGAATCCACCAGGACTAGAGAATTGATTGTGCTGCATGTGCTGCAGGCTGTCAGAGGAGTGCCAGGCTGTGGATTTGCTTCTGTGGTAACATTAGTCACAGCGGATGCGTGGATGAGTGCTGTGCCCTGGGAGAGCCTCTTAGGCACGTGAGGGCTGTGCATCTGCCAGGGTGACGTGAGTGACCATGCCACCTTCATGAATCAGCACCCCTCTGGGTCATATGGCTCCTGGGATGCACACTGAGCCCCTCACCTCAGCAGACAGAATTACAATTCACATAGTCCAGTAGGGACGGCTCTTGTGGTTCACGCCAGATCTGCAGCAACCTCTTGATAATAAAAAAAAGTGAATGGAAAAGTAAGCCATACAAAAAGATGGAACCCTTCAGAGACACCAGGAATGCATCAGGGCCCCTGCTGAGCCTCTCCCCGACCTTGACCCCTGATCCACATCAGTCTGGGAGAAGGGATAGGCAGTGGCTAGGGAACAGGGTGGATAACGGAAACAATAAAGCTGAGCATTGCTAGAACACGCTCTAATCTGTAGTCTATTTCTGGTTAGAAATATAGCAATCCAGTGCACTGTAGTAAAGAAATCTGCCCGAAAGGTAGCAGAGAACAGCTGACTGAAAACGAGCAAAGCACGGCAGAGTCCATAAGACAGACGGGCTGCACCCAAGAAGACTGACGGAGCCACGGGTACCAGTCGAGCTGGCATCCCTTGTTCGTTTGTTTGGATGAGGGAACAACCCTGGTAGAGAAGGCAGAGACATGAGGAACCTGTTGTTTGACTGAAACAAGTTACATTGTACATCCGGGAGTGCTGGGTATGCAACAGTCTCCAGGACATTCAAGCCACTGGCTTCAACCACATTCCTGTTCCGGGACCAGACTCGCTCTGGAGTAGCACTGAGGTATCTGGAGGGAATTATGTATATCTGTTGGGGTAGTCGAGGCAGGCACAGTGCAAAGATGTGAGACCCTGTGGAGGTCAGTGAGAAGTGACGTCCTCCATGGGGCGTCACTGCCAGGGACACGGAAGCCTAAATATACATCCTGAATACTAGGTGCAAAACGCCACCTTCTCAGCCCAGGTGTGCTGTCAGGCTGTCCGGGGCATGTGGGCCATAGCCCCTTGGCATCAGGGCTTAGATGTGCCTGGCCAGGTCGGGGTTAGCCCTGAACGTCTGCAGCATGGCCTCCCTGGGTCTGGAGGGATGATGGCTGGACAGGACCATAAACGAGTGAGCGGAGGACAGCAGCGGAACAGACTTTGCTGGAAGAGGGATCATGGTCTGTTGGGAAGAAGAGCAGGGGCTTCCCTCTCCCTCCACAGGTACGCAGCACAGACTCCATGGAGACAGAGGCGAGGACGACACCCTGTCCCTGGGCCCGGGCCCTCACTCCCAGCAGCTACTCCAGAGAGGAGGGCAAAGCCACTGGCTTTCCACAGCTGTGCTGCCTTGCTGTCCTCCCCCTTCCCCGGCTAGACGGGCACGCTGGTGAAGGTGCCCCCTCTCATGCCTTCCACATCCCCGGGACCCTTTCACACCACACTGGAAGGACAGCATGCCGGCCTCCTCCTGCCGTGCCACACAGCATCGTGTTATACAACCAAAGAATTTTGGCTAAAATCCAAAAACATTACCCAGAAAAAAAGGCATACTGTAAGTGATACCCAGTCATGTTGTTCTTCCGTGGAAAGACAGGAGTCATAGGGCTGTCTGAGTCAAGATTCCCCTTTCTGTTTTGCTTTTAACGTACTTTTTGTTCATCATTGCTTCCGTGGTCACAACAATCTCGTCAGATGAAAAAGTTGATAAACAAAATGGCGACTCCAGTGTTGAGCAGGAACACCACGATGACCAAGATGGGAGCTGAACCCTGGAACAGAGAAGACAGGTGAGAGCAATGCCAGTACAGGGCCTCCTTCCACACTGGTGCCCAAATGAGAGTAGCCAACAGCCACGGTCGAGAAGGCTTAACCTCCTGCAGGGCTGCTCACTGGTACCCTTGCTGTTTATACTGATCTTTCTCATGAACCTGACGGGAAGCTCTCCAAGGGGTCACCTGGAATCTTCTCCTGCTCTTCACCTATTTGTAGGCCTACTTGCTGCCTACAGTACCTTGTTTCCCCCAGCACTTCCTGAAGCCTTTCTCAGTGTGGCTCACTGTCACCCCCATCACAGCCCTTGCCTGGCCGACTGCCTGCTCCTGCACCTCACCTCCACAGGGCCATCCTAGAGGAGGCTTTGCCTCTGCCCTGGACAGCCAGCAGTTTAGAGAGAAGCGCATTAGCCAGCACTGCAGAAGTCTCAGCCAGGCCTGCTTGTGCGAGGCCAGCACATCTGGCCGCACCCTCCAGCTCTGCAGTTCATCCTCTGAGTAGACAGGTACCCAGCCTGCTGACTACACACAAGCACCTTCTAGCTCACATCTCAAACCCACGAGACTCCACACGAAAGGGGTGTGCTCCTTGTTTGCCAGAGACATTGGCTAATAATAGACCAAGAAGTTTGCTCAACTAGACGGTAGGCTTCAGGGAGCTTTCCCCCTTATTTCTTGCTGGACAGCCTAGAGTGAACTCAATCTTGAGTCTCCTGGCTCGGCCTTTTGAATGCTGGGGTTATTGGTGTATGCCACATAGCTGGCTAAGTAGAAGGTTTCTTAAATGCATATGTTTGACTTTGTGATGCTAATGATCACATTAGACAAGTGCTTTACTACTGAACTACCTCCAAAAAAAAGCAAGGGCTTTAAAAAATTCCCTGGGGAGACAGGCAGGGGTAGTGCTTGCCTTTAACCACAGTGCAGAGGCAGAGGCAGGTGGATCTCTGAGTTCTAGGCCAGCATGGTCTACGGTGTGAATTCCAGGACAGGCTCCAAAGCTACACAGAGAAACTGTCTCAAAAAAAAAAAAAAAATCCAAGTATTCGGTAGTGGCATTTCATTTGTATTTTAATAATAAAGTTTGCCCGAGGATCAGGGAATGAAGCAGCCATACTGGCCAGGCTTACAGACCAGGCCACAGTGATACACACCTTTAATCCCTGTAGCCACACTAGCTTGCCATAGAAACCAGGTGGTAGTAGTGCACGTCCTTAATCCTAGAACTAGAGAGGATTATTAAACGGGAGGAGACAGCTCTCACACACAGTCTCACTCTGAGATTCCTGGAGGCAGGATTGCCATTTCGGACTGAGGTCAAGGTAAGAGCCAGTGACTGGCTGTTTTACTTCTTTGGCTTTCAGGTTGAACCCCAATTTCTGTCTCTGGGTTTTTATTAATCATGTAACAATAGTCAGTTCTGCCTGGGTCCAGCACCCAGCAACCCAGCCCTTTGTCCTATTACCACCTTGCTGAAGACTGGATGGAGACCCAGGCTCTGCATGGCAGGAGGGGACAAGAAGGCTTGCCTGGCCAGCAGGGCCTCATTTTTACTAGGGTAGAGTCACCTTTGAACTCTAGTGTTTTTATGACAAGGACTTACATGACTTCTTGGCTGAGCCAGCCTTGCAAGGAAGTGGAAAAGGCCTTAACATTAGAGTTGGCCAAGGGTAGGTCCTGCCCTGATGCCAGCCCACTGTTCCACATCCTTCTGGGATGTTTAGTCAAGCCCCAGACCCATAGGTGTGTCACAAGGCAGAGGTGAAGGGCAGCTTTGGGGCCAGGCCATACTCATCAACAAAGTGACTTGACCACCAGGAGTCATCTGTAGTTGCTCCTGGGAATGTAAGTCTAGATCAGGTGACTCATATTCTGCCCGTCACTTCAGAAGAGTGTGAGGCTTCTCTGGTCTTGGAAGGTGTAGAGAGGACCACAGAATTCACCAGGGCCAGGAACTTTATGAGCCAGAGCCCTGGGTCTCTCCTACCCATTCGCCACTGCCAGACAACTTGAAGGAAGTGGTGATGCTACCAATCAGAAGGCACCTTCCCAGACCAGAACACAGGATGTGCCATACTATACAGAGCCCTGAGCTGGGAGGGGACATCTAGGTCTTGAGATGCCTGACATCCAACCTCCCAAAGGCCACTCACAGTCACCACTGACACGTTCACTTTCCATCTGCCTTGCCTGACCTCCCTTCATTCCCATAGGACAGCGTGGCACCTACAGAGACCCTGCCTACTTTCTCAGGATGTTGGGACCACAGAGTGGGGCTGAAGTTCGTTCTTCAATTTCTACCCTGGGAGTACGGGTGGCCTCAGGCAGTGAAAGAATGTCCCAGATCATTCACCCCAGCTGGAAGCCCTAGGGTAAAGGGACCCTGCACTGTGAGCCTCTGGTTGTCCCACCCCACACTTAAGGCCAGCCTGTGGCGAGTCCCTACGTTTTGCATATCTAGGGAACTCTGCGTATTGATTTTGGTTGTGCATGTGGATGTGCATTCTGTGGATGCCCATGCATGTATCGTATGCTTGAACACGTATACATGTGTGTAGGCATGGGTGAACATGTATACATGTGCATATGGAAGTCAGAGGACAATCCCAGGTTTCTTGAGGAGCCTCCCACCTCATTCTACTTGGACATAGGCTCTCCCTGGCCTGGAGCTCACCAAGTGGGCTAGTCCGACTAGCCTCAGAGGATCTGCCTGTCTCTATTATCCCCAGTGCTGGGGTTATAAAGCATGAGCCACTGTGGCCCATGTTTTAAAAAACAAAACCAAAAAGCATGGATCCAGGGATCAAACTCATGCCCTGAGGCTCACATAGCATCTCCCATGCTATGCTCTCTCTAAAGACAGCCATATTATGTAGCCCAGGCTGGGATGACCTCTTGGTGCTCCTCCTGTAGCAAGCTTTGGAGTTCTGTGTTTATGGGCATGGCTAAAACTTTGCTCTTCCTGTTCAGTGGTGCTGGGGCCTGAACTTAGGCCGTATGTACACTGGGCAAATGCACTCTACCATTGAGATACATTCCCAGCCAGAGGCTCTGTCTTAAAGCAAGCCAAAAAGCCGACACGGTGATGTGGGCTAAATCTAGAACTACTCCTGAACCTCCCACCCCCTGCCCACTGCTGTGCTGCTCCTGAAATAGCCACACACTCCGCATGCACACAACTTCGCAGCTGGCTGTGTGCCGGCAGGGTGAGGCCCAAGCTAGTGCTGTGGTCCCAGCAGCAACCAGAGCAGAGGAGACATCCTAGAATCACAGCGATGAGAAAGACAGATAACCGGTGACTTCAAGGAGAATCGAGGAGCACAGAAAACGCCTCACCTGGGGCAACTGACTGCTGGGGCTGTCAGAGGAAATCACAGCATCCCCAGGTCCCTTGAGATGGACACCGGCCCCTGCAACAACGAGAACCCCACAGAGGCTCCCTATGGGTCTCTGTGTGGGACCCATACAAATAACACCACACAGAGCACTCCTATGGGGATCTCCTTTCCAACCTCTGCACACACAACCAGATACTCAGAAACCCAGTTTGTCACATAAAGCCAAGGCACTGGAGGGTGGTCATCTTTGCCATAGCGGGTAAATGGGGCCCTGTCTGCTGAGGCTGCTGGTACTCAGGGCACCAGGCTTCTGTGTTGCCATCATCCCTCCCATGCCTTCTGTTACGGAGCCAGCGGTGGGCTTAGCGATCCCAGGAGGCCCCTTAAATGTCCTATCCTCTCTGGCCCAGGGGAGGCTGCTGTTTTCCTTCAAAAGGCCCATCCTAGGGCAGGGAAAGAAGACAAGGGGGTGTCTGACCAAGCAAAGAGTTGTTCTTGGGGATCTCGTTTGGGAGTCTGACCTATACCTCATGGGACATGATAAACCTCCAAAGGTCATGGGGCCCAGGAACCTCAATGCTATGGCTTCCTAACAACCTCTGACTGCTTGGATAAATATTGACCTATAGAAGGGGAGACCTTAGGACCTGACTGCAGGGCAGGCTTGCAGGGTTCCATCCCACTGTCCAACGTGTAAATCATCTTCTTGGGAGTCTGAATGTGGGCTTGTGGCCCTTTGACTTAGACAACAGTCTAACTCTGTCGTCTCAGAGAGGCAGGTCCTCCACTGGGGACCGTGGCTTTTCCTGACTTTCTCTTTAAGCTGGGAGCAGCTGGGTGAGAAGACTATGCAGAGAGTTGTTGGCCATCTCCCCCTCTACATCAGAAACACCTGAAAGAGGAGGTGGTAGTCACAGCTGGGTACCAGAGTGGGTCCTGGGCAGAGGCGCAGGCGGAGCAGACAGCAAGACTCTTTTGACCTAGCTAGGCCTAGTCCCTCTACATGAGTTCTGACCCTCAGCCTGGACCCAAAGGCCTCTTCATGACTGTGTGAGAACCCAGATGGGCATGGCACACCTGAGTCCATAGCCTCCCTCATCTTTCTATTCTCACCAATTAGTATACAGTAGCTGGGAGCAGACAGGAGGGACTGTGACCTCAATGCGGCCTTCAGGCTCTGTGGGACCAGGATACTTCCCAATGAAGCTGGAGAGATGTAAGACAGAGCTGGGTGTTCGGAGGTGCGCACAACACAACCCCCGCGGCAGTTGACTGTCCCACCACGGAGGAGGCTCTGTGCCTCCATGTAGTGTTCACACAGCTCCCTGACGGGAAGGGCGGTGACTTCCAAGGGACGCACCGCAGGCTCCCACTCATTAGATTCTCTAACCTGGAAGCCACCGGCCCTAAGTGAATGTCTCACTTCATCGAGTGCACGTGACGATTAAACAAAACTCAGCACAGAGGGGGAGGAGGCAGGAGGATTGCGATGGGCCAGCCTGGGCTACAGAATAAAATCTTGTACTAGAAACAAACAACAATAATTGCTGAATGAGACTAGATTCAGCACCCTCCAGCCACCCTTGCTACAGTGGGCACAAAGCCAGCACTGCAGTTGGCTATAGAATCGCACCAGGGACCCAGAAGAGGAGCGGCAGTGTCTACACTGCTGGGGGCTTGGAATCAAGACACTGACATCCACCACACACACCCACGTGTTTGCTGAATAGGCTTCAGCAAGGGGTGTCACTGGTAATCAGCCCCAGATGGTACTGGGAACCGCTGCCCAGGCCCTGTTCCTCAGAGCCACCAGCTCAGGCAGAACTCACCGTTTTCCCTGTGCTGGAAGGAAGGCGAGAACTCTTTGGCAGTGATCCTGGCCATCCACACTTCTTCCTGGGCTTTTTGAGTGGCTGTGAGTGCTGCTTCAGCCTTGGCCCGGGAGTGGGAGGATTTGGGGGAGACAGGAGGCAAAGGGTGAGCATCGAGCAGAGGCTCAGAAGGGACCCTGTGTCTACCCTTGGGTCCTGTTCATTAAGTCACTCAACAAACATGGCTGGCACCAACCAACCAGCCTTTTTGCAGTAGCCCCTGGACACAGGTTGGCATATTTTTATTTTTTACTTTATGTATATGGGTGCCTTTGCCTGCACGTGTGTGTGGTGTGTGCATGTAAGTGCCAACAGAGGCCAGAAGGGGGCACCGGATCCTCTAGGGCTGGAGTTGCAGGCACCTGTGAATCATGTTGGTGCTGTAACTGAACCTGGTTCCTCTGCTTAGGGCAGCCAGTGCTCTCACCATCGAGATCCCACTACATCCCGTTGTTTAAAATATTGTATTTTTACATGTGTGTATATCTGTGTCTGTGAGTACATGGCACATGTTGGGGAGGGCCTCTGGAGGACAGAACATGCTGTCAGATCCTTGGAACTGCAGGTGGCTGTGAACTGCTACAATTGGGTGCTAGGAATAGAACTCAGGTCCACTGGAAGGGGCAGGACACATTCTTAAGCCATCCTAGAATATGTTACTTTAAAAAAAAAAGATTGATTTATTTATTATGTATACAGTTTTCTGTCTGTCTGTCTGCTTGCTGGCCAGAAGAGGGCACCAGATCCCATTACAGATGGCTGTGAGCTACTATCTGGTTGCTGGGAATTGAACTCAAGATCTCTGGAAGAAGTCAAGGCTCTTAACTTCTGAGCCATCTGTCCAGCCCGAATATGTTATTTTTTATCAATGAATATGATGCCACACTGTGAAAAGCTAAGCTGGGCAATCCCTGTCTCAGGGTGGAAGTGGTGACAGGTCACCAGGGAGTCCATGCGACATGAACCGTTCTCTCCCGCTCTAGGGTTCAGGGGTGGGAATATTCCTGTTGTGGCAAAGAGGATGCAGGACACTGGGGATGGAGGACCAGGACCTGTATCTACTCCTCCAGCTCTGCTATGCTCTGCTGAGTCCCACAGGGCCACCCTGTCCTTGTAAGAGCAGAGGCTGGAATTCCAAGGCAGAATGGGGAGCTCCTCGTCAACTCCTCCTTCCTCTGGCATCTGACTCTAGGACTGGATCAGGCCCAGACAACCTCCCCAACACTGGACACAGTGGTCCCCAGTCCCTGAGATAAAGGTGGCATTCTCCTCACAGGTCTCCTGCCTGTGGTCCAGGTAACTGTCGGAGCAAGCAATATGAGACAGCGGCTTTCAATCAGAGTTAACTTTCTTCCAGTTCTGGGGCTGGATGTCCAAAGTTAGGATGCTATACAGGGAAGACCCACACAGACTGCACCGGTACCTTCTGGCTGTGTCCTTGAAAATAGAGAAGGTATCCTCATGCTTTGTCCTAATGCTGTTCTTGATGGCCCCACCCCAATAATCTCATCATCTCCCAGAGATGGGCACTCAGAACAAATGCATGGAGGACCGAGTTTCATCACGCAGCTCTTGGGGACAATCTGTTTAGCAACCGGGCTCCCATGTCTTACACACAGCACCTGTGCCTTGGAGTCTCCAAGCTAACTCCCAAAACACTCAGAATGTTTGCAGCTTGATGCTTCATTTTTCAAATGATTGTGTTAGAAGAGAATGTGCCACCCAGATACAGATGTGGAAGGCCAAGCCATGAATACGTGCCCAAGGGAAGCAGGCAACTTGGATGCTAATCCTGCCCATGGGCTCTCCTCTAATGTGACTCCCCAGGCATTACGACCTCCTTCTCTCTGCCATACAGAGAGCAAGGGGTCAAGAAAACTCACCATGCTAAAATGTAGTGTTAATAAAATTTTATCCCTTGAAGCACTTTGCTTCTTAGAAGTGGGAAAAAACAATTGTTTCTCAACAGAGCCATGACCTCAGGTCTCATGGAACATAAAAAAACTACACCTTCTGGAATATTCCTTGGGTATCTGGTATTTGTCATTACAACCGAGAAGGACCCACTAATATAGTATAATATAGTATAATATAATAACCAATACCTGATTTATTACTGACAATGGATCAGCTGAAGACTCACAGCTGCTGGCTTCAGGACTCTTCTGCAGAAACTGCCCAGGGAACTTGGAGGACAGCCTATGTCCCCTAGCTAGGGTCCCCTTCTATCCTGTTCTGTGATCCCAACATAGCTTATGCACTCTGGAATGACCTCCCTGAGAATCTGTGCAACCTTGGAAACTGTCCCAAATTCTCTGCAAGGTTCCCCAGCTCCCACAGAAGGTCTGCAGTGTCCCAGAGCAGAACACAGCCCCGATAGAGCAGCTGCTGAGTTGAGGTGTCCTGGGGAGCAGGGGAGAGTGCCTACCCAAGGCCCACAGAAGGCAGCTAGGATGCCATTCACCCTTCCGGGCTCACAGTGCTCCTCTGGTGATGCTCAGTTTCCTGACATCTCTGTGGGCTGTGATTGGTTCCCACATCCTCACTTAGTAAAAACACCATTAATTCACCAACACCATGTGAATATTTGCATATGTCTGTCACATGTACATAAAAAGAATTTACCATGCCAACCCCAAAATAAAATCAATTGAGATGAGCACCGGGTAGCAAAGACTCCACCCCACGCGGCAAAGGGTAATTTTAAATAAGACTCACAGGACCTGGCCCTGAGCAAGTACTCTAGGGGACAGCAACCTCCAAAGGGGGTTCCCACTGTCTAAATTCATGCCTGTGAGGTCTGTCTGCAGTGTCAGGATAGGATGCTCTCAATCTGTGAGGGGCTCTCCTGTACGTAATATCACTTGCTGGTCCCTCTGCATGGTTGTACCCACATGTCCTCCGGCATGGGTGCCCTGTATATGGGCATAGTTGTACCTGTGGCCCTCACCATAGGCTCAGACACCCAGAGAGGAGGTGGCAACTTAACATGCAAAGCAACTGAGAGGCAGCTAATTGTGATCCAGGACTCATGAACCCCACCTGGATAGAGGAAAACAAGATAGACCAGAAGCCAGGGAGGGTCAGTCATCTGACTGATAGGGTAAGGAGCTGGCTGCAGGAAGGGTGTGGGGTGGGCATCGAAGGAAAGCCTTGGGACTGAGGGGCAGCCAGCAGGCGATGCCAGACTCAGGACATTGAAGTAACAGTTGTAGGGATGTGCAAGCTGGTGGCACACTCGCATTCCTATCACACAAAACATGTATGATGCTGAGGCAGGAGGATCACCGGGTTACTCTCTTAGAAAGAAAAAAAGGAAGAGTGGAGATCCAAGCCAACCGAAAGATGCAAACCCTTTTGATTCCACAGCACGTGTTTCAATAAAGCCTCTGACCCTCCCCTAAAGGTGTCTTCGGAGCCTATGCTGGGTGACCAGGACATACAGGTGATCAGTCAGATCACTGATGGTTATGCAGACCACAAAGGAAGCCATCCAGTTTCACGAGAAAAACATGCCTCTCCTCTCCTCAGGCCAGACTCACCATGGATGCTTGGACATTGGAGTCAGACCCTGGGAGGGCTAGGCAGGGAACCACAGAGGGAGTGAGGGAGTGTGTGTGTGTGTGTGTGTGTGTGTGTGTGTGTGTGTGTGTGTGTAAGCAGGAGGAGGGGCTCTTATTCTGTATCCCAGGCTAGCCTCAAATTCATAACCCTCCTACCTCAGTGTTACAGCTGCATGGCTTACACAGGTGTACCGCTATGCTGAGGTAACGGGTGTACCACTATGTTGGGCTTACAGGGGTGTACCGCTATGCTGGGCTTACAGGGGTATAAGCAATGCTGGGCTTACAGGGGTGTACCACTATGCTGGGCTTACAGGGGTATAAGCAATGCTGGGCTTACAGGGGTGTACCACTATGCTGGGCTTACAGGGGTATAAGCAATGCTGGGCTTACAGGGGTATAAGCAATGCTGGGCTTACAGGGGTGTACCACTATGCTGGGCTTACAGGGGTATAAGCAATGCTGGGCTTACAGGGGTATAAGCAATGCTGGGCTTACAGGGGTGTACCACTATGCTGGGCTTACAGGGGTATAAGCAATGCTGGGCTTACAGGGGTATAAGCAATGCTGGGCTTACAGGGGTGTACCACTATGCTGGGCTTACAGGGGTATAAGCAATGCTGGGTTTACAGGGGTGTGCTGCTCTACTAGACTTACAGGGGAGCGCTGCCATGCTCTGAGACAGAAGGCCTCTTGTTCCTGCTGCCTGCCTAGTGTTAGAGAAGCATGGTGGAGAGGAGCACCAAAGAGACAGGACAGCTAGGTCTCCTGAGGGTCAGGAGTCAGAGTGAGCTTCTAGAGAAAGTTCCAAAGCCTTCTTTCTCCCCCTTGTGTTGGCACTTCTGTTTTTCTATAAGAAGTACCTTCTCCCTCAGATCATAGGAACTGAATCTTCTCTGGCCAGCGTCTCACTCTATCTCTTGTTCTGTATCTACTCCTGGTCTGGGCTGGCAGGAGAGGGAGGGCAAAGGGTCACAGGCACCCCAGCTCCCCTCCTCTGTCCCTTCACCTGTCTGGGATCTCACAGAATGGTGCGTGGTGGCAACTATGCATGCTCGTACCACCTGCCAGGCCAGCCGTGTGTGTGCTCCCGACCCCTCCACTGCCCACAGCAGCACCGCTAATCTCTACCAGACTCAGGCGCTCACATGCCCTCGGGTCATCCTCAGCAATGGCAACAGATGCTGGGGTCCCTACAGATATGGTCCCCAGACTCCACGGGATCTCAGGGAGGTCTGTGCCTGTCGGGGCTCTGGCTCTTCCTTCCTGGAAATCAACTCCATTACTCACTGTGCATGTCTGCCACTGGCCCAGCCTATTACCCCTCTCATGAAAACCCCTGTCAAGTCTCCTCCCACAACCCAAGGCCTTTAGTACCCCAGAGCTGAGCTATAGACCTTCTGTGTGCAGCCTCACCCACCCTGAACAGGCTGCTCTGAAGGACTGTCCCCACAAATCAGCACTCATCAGAGGGACAAGGACAGTGATGGGCATAGACAAACACAGGATGCAGGCAGGGCCACACTGGGGCAGACTCCATCCCTCATGAGGCCAGCTAAGTCTGATGGTCCTCTTTGCCTCCTTAATCTGCCCCCCTCACTTGCTTTGCTTTGTTTGTTTCCTTTCTTAAAACAGGTGCCACTCTGTAGCTCAGGCAGAGCTTGAATTCATAATTCTCCTGCTTCAGCCTCTCTAGCTAAGTGTCATCCTGAGCTTTCACTAGACTATAAATGTGGCTCTTCCTCTTCTTCTTTTTCCTCCCCCTCTCCCTCCCCTCCTTCTCCTCCTCCTCCTCTGTAGTAATAGGAGTGGCGGGGCTGCGTCCCCAGCACCCCAGCCGCCCGCACGGCTAGCTTAGCTTATGCCCCGAAATAACAACACACAAACTGTATTCATTTAAACACTGCTTGGCCCATTCTCTTCTAGGCTAATTCTCACATATTAATTTAGCCCATTTCTAATCATCTGTGTGTAGCACCCCAAGGTGCACTTACTGGGAAGATTCTAGCCTAGTCCATCCTGGGTCGGAGCTTCATCCCGGGAGCGGGGCATGGCGTCTCTTTCAGGCGTCTGCTCCCGAGAGGAGAGCTGTCGAGACTCTGCTCACTTCCTCTTCCTCCCAGCGTTCTGTCCTGTTTACTCTCCTCCTTTTCCTCCTCCTCCTCCTCCTTCTTCTTTCTCTCCCTGGGCTGCAGTTGTCAAGGCAACCCCACCTCCTCCAGGGAGGCTGCTAGGGAGGGACTGTGCCCAGACAGGGTGCCTGCAGGCCCTGCCCCACACAGGTGCCCACTGGGGAGGAGCTCCATATGCTTAGGCATCTAACTCTCAGGCCAGCCCTCAGAGACTGGACCAGGGCTCATCAGGTCCTGTGAACAGGCTAGTGCTTCTTGGTGTTTATCCTGACAGGTATGGGGTCTTTGGGCTGTGCTGACGCCAGGCACCGTGCACAGGAATGATGGAGCAGTTCTCATGTCACAACCAAGGGGACTCAGGCTGGCTCTGTCCTCCAGAAACTGCACAGCCACTGTGCCAATGGGTGCTGCAGACTGCTGTGGTGCTCCTAGACACAAGCCTTGGGATACTTTCAGGGCCAGGGCCAGGGCCAGGGCCAGGGCCAGGGACCAGGTGGCACACCCACTACAATCATGGTTCCTTGATGTGCTCACACATCACACATGGTTCCGCTTGTGGTGCTCACACATGGGAATTAGAAGGAATGTCTTCTGCACCCTGCCTGCCAGGGACCACCAGAAGAGGCTGATAAAGACCCAGCAGTCCCCAACAGAGGCTGGGGCTTCCCAGGCACCCCCACTTCACAGGACATGGTGGCTTGTCTGAACTTATATTTGCTAAGTGGCCTTTCCAGACTTTAAACACGGTCTTCCTGTCTAAAGCGGTGGGCCTCTGCACCATGCCTGGATGCAGCCACTGAGTGCTCATGCAAAGGTCGGAGTATGGTCACCAAGGTGCCTGTGGGCTTTCCTCACAGCAAAGAAAGTCTGCAGCATAGGGTGACCAGTGTCGGAGCTGCTGTTTCAGCCAGCTGCTTGCTCCACTTCAATGGGAGATGGTGGGCTTCCACAGGTGTACACTCACAAGAGAATCCTCCTGACCACAGCCCTCCACAGTGTGTACACTCACACAGAGACCCCTCCTGACCACAGCCCTCCACAGTGTGTACATTCACAGAGACCCCTCCTGACTACAGCCCTCCACAGTGTGTACACTCACACAGAGACCCCTCCTGACCACAGCCCTCCACAGTGTGTACATTCACACAGAGACCCCTCCTGACTACAGCCCTCCACAGTGTGTACACTCACACAGAGACCCCTCCTGACCACAGCCCTCCACAGTGTGTACACTCACACAGAGACCCCTCCTGACCACAGCCCTCCACAGTGTGTACATTCACACAGAGACCCCTCCTGATCACAGCTCTCCACAGTGTGTACATTCACACAGAGACCCCTCCTGATCACAGCCCTCCACAGTGTGTACATTCACACAGAGACCCCTCCTGACTACAGCCCTCCACAGTGTGTACACTCACACAGAGACCCCTCCTGACCACAACCCTCCACAGTGTGTACATTCACACAGAGACCCCTCCTGATCACAGCCCTCCACAGTGTGTACACTCACACAGAGACCCCTCCTGACCACAACCCTCCACAGTGTGTACATTCACACAGAGACCTTCCTGACCACAGCCCTCCACAGTGTGTACACTCACACAGAGACCTTCCTGACCACAGCCCTCCACAGTGTGACTATGGGTGGAGTCCTGGCAGGCCGAGGTCAGCACATAGCTTCTCTGCCGTGGAAGGGGCTGCAGTTTCCAGGGCTTGTGTCCTCAACTATAGCACAGGTACAGAGAGGGGTCTCTGTGGGAACAGAGATTGGAGTGGGGCCTGCTGCTCCACTGTGGATGTTCTGGGGGCTCACTTTTTGTAGTGGCATTTCATTTGTATTTTAATAAATAAACTTTGCCTGAGGATCAGTGAAGTACAACAGCCTCATAGACTAGGCCACAGTAGCACACACCTTTTGTCCAAGTAGCCACACTAGCTTGCCATAGGAAACAGGAGGTAGTTGTGCACACTCTTAATTCCAGCCCTAGAGAGGATTATAAGACGGGAGGAGACAGCCCTCAGACACAGTCTCATTCTGAGATTCCTGGAGGCAGGATTGCCGTTTTCAAACTGAGGTTGAGGTAAGAGCCAGTGGCTGGCTGCTTTGCTTTTTTAGCATTTAGTTGCACCCCAATTTCTGTCTCTGAGTTTTTATTAATTGTGCATCAACTTTTGAGTGACTTCACAGAGCTATGGCCCATTTGCTCTGACATGTCATGTTCATTCAACAATTAGGTTCAAAGGGGCTGGGTATATTCTGGGGTGTGCAGTCTCCCCCACAGTCCAGTTTCACCTTCTCTTGATGCCCCCCAAGCAGCCACACACAGCCAGCTTCAGCTCCTGGCAACAGCTGACCTGCTTCCTTTTAGGTCTTTCTGGAGAAATCAAGGAGTCGGGGCACAGGGAGGGGCTGGTGTTGGCAGCATCTGTATGAGGTGAGGTAGGCTGGGGTAGGGGTGGGGGAGGCACAGAGCACAGCAATCTAAGGACAGAACAGCCACCTACCAGCCTCTTTAAGTCAGCAGTGACTAGGGGGACAGGGCCAACATGCACCTCTCCTCCCCTTGCTCCCCACAGCACCAGGGGCCACCACCCTTACTTTTCTCAAAGGTTCCTCTCTAAGTGGGAGGAAACTCTCTGCTGTAAGGAAGTAAGAAAGAAAAAAAAGGATGGAAGGAAGGAAGGAAGGAAAGAAGAAAGAAAAGAAAGAAACTGAGCATGTGGCAAACACCTTTAATTTCAGCACTCAGGAGACAGAGGCAGGAGGATCTCTGTGAGTTCAAGGTCAGCCTGGTCTACAGAGTGAGTTCCAGGACAGTCAGAGCTACACAGAGAAACCCAGCTCAGGGGGAAAAGAAAAGAACAAAGCTCTAAAGCCCTCACTGCAAGCAGTCACACGTGGTGAGTGGAGCAAAGGCCCACATCTCTGCTGTCATCGGAGACACCAGTTCCCCATGGGAGCATCCACTGGACCAATTTGTCCATTGCTGGACATAGATGCTGGACACAGGCAGGTGCTAGGGCCTGGGCACAGAACAGGGCCTGCCCTGTAAGGGAAGGGCTAGAAGAAGCCTGGCACAGTGGCCTGCAGTATTGAAGGCCACCCAGAGAAGCGAGTCCGGGTCACAGAGTACACACACTAACATCATGTATAAGATCACCCTTGGGCCCTGTGGACAGCACATTGGAGGCATAAGCGAAATTTTGGCTTCTCTCTCCAAGAAATAGTTGCTTGTTTTGCTTTGATTTCTTGAGATGGGGGTCTCACTATGTACCCCATGTGTTCCAAATGGACAATCCTCTTGTCTCAGCCTCCTGAGTGGCTCCAAGAAACTTCGCCATGGATATGTAGATACTCTAAAACTCAACAAAGCCTGCAATCTAGAGCACTTCCGGTCACAGCAACCTGACCGCTCTGAGCTCTATGGTTCCCACACATCAGACATGGGACATGAGGATGCTAGAAGCCGCATCACCTGCTCTGCCTCACTCCTGGCCTTTTTCACTTAACACCACCCCTTGGCATCTGTGTGCTATCAGTGAACTATAGACTTTCTCAGTTCTGGCCACTGACTTGCCCCAAGTTTGGTGTGGCCACATGTCATTTCCTACAGTCCCAATCGTGACCCAACGATGACCTGTGTGTTTGACTTTTGTAACAAAAATCTGCCTTTGGGATAAATTTCTGTACGTATGATCTCCAAGTTAAGGTGCAGCGGGGACACCAAGGCCGGTGCTGTGTCCAGCAGGACAAGAGCTCCCCGGGAGGCCTGTCCACAGCTCTCCTGCTCTGAGTCAGCAAAGTTTACCCATCTCTCCCAAGCTGATGAGCTAGAGAGCATCGTTGCAGAGTGGCTTTCATTTAGATTTCTCTTTTTGTTTTCCCTTTCTATCATTTTTGAGACAGGGTCTCGTGTAGCCCAGGCTGACCTCCAGCTTAGAATGTAGCAAAGGATGACCTTGAACATTTCTCTCTAAACCCAGAATGCTGGGGTGAGAGGCATGTGCCACCACACCTGCATTTATCATCATCGTCATCATCATCATCATCATCATCATCATCATCATCATCATCATCATGGATGTGTCTCTGTGTGGCTATATCTGTATACATGAGAACTTTTGGGAGCCAGAAAAGGGCATTGGTCCTCTCGGAGCTAGAGTTGCAGGTGTTTGTGAGCTGCCCAGCATGGATGCTGGAATCTGAATTCTGGTCCTCAGATAGAACAGGAAGTGCTCTTAGCAACTGAGCCATCTCTGCAACACCTATACCTGGTTTTATGGGGTACGAGAGGCTGAGCCCAGGGCTTGGTGTGTGGTAGTTAGGTTGACTGTCTAATGGAGTGCTGGTGTTTGAGTCCAGGGTTTTGTACAGGTAGGCACACGCTCTACAGGTGAGCAGTATCCTCACCTAAAACAGGTTCTTGCATCGGGGCAAGGATCTTGCTGGACTCCAACTTGTAGTCCTGCCTCAGCATCCCCAGTGCTGAGACAAAAAGAGTTCACTGTCACGGCTGACAGTTTGAATTCAGAGCTAGGCTTCATGTAGTAAAGAATCGAGCTCTTTGTGCTTCATACACAAGCATTTTGCACACCTGGGGTTCACTTCTGAGTGAGGTGTGAGGCAGAGATTTCCATTTTCCTGTGCCCCACATGGTGCCCAAATTGGTCCCGTCAATGAACACCACACACAACCTGCATCAGCTAAATGCCACCATCTGAAGGTCACGTCCCCATGGCCTCCTCGCTTTCCCTATTAGCACCGCCTTCTGTGGACACCTCCCTGCTAACTGGAACCTCACCAGTGCCACTGCTGCTGAGATGAGGAAGACCAGGGCTGGCTTCCAAGGTGGGCTTTGTAAACCAACTTTATATACACGGTCCAACAAGAGAAGGGCAAGGATT